TTAATGCACAGCCGATTGCGAAATCGCTGGCATCACAGACCACATGAAATGGCCTGTCTTGATCGGCTATTGCTAGGACTGGGGATTGTATCAAGCTCTGCTTGATACCCTCAAAGGAGCGTTGACATTCAGCGTTCCATAACCACCTCTCGTTCTTTTTCAACAAACGAGAGAGGTGCACAGTCATCTCGGCGTAATTGCGTGAATACTTATGCAAATACGCCGCTAGCCCAAGGAATTTTCGAAGACCTTTGACATCGACCGGCACAGGCCAGTCGGTGATCGCCTTGATCTTTTTGGGATCAGGACGTACACCGTTCTTACCAACGATGCACCCAAGAAGTGGTATTTCGCTTGCCGCAAATATACACTTCTTGAGGTTAGCATACAATTGATGCTTTCGCATGATTGTAAGAACTTGTCGGACGTGGTACCTGTGAACCTCAACGTCCGACTTTCCATCCATAGCTCGACTATGGATGAATACGTCATCGAAATAACTCGGCGCGAATTCTCGTACTGGTCTCAACAGATGTGATACACATCTGTTGAACGTGGCAGGGGCATTACTGAGCCCTTGTGGCATTACTAGCCATTCCCAGAGCATGCCGCTAGGTGTGCTAACTGCGGTATAGGGTATATCCCGTTCCCGCATTAGGATTTGATAGAAGCCATCCATCAAATCCATGGACGAAAAGATGGTACTCTTTGACATACCATCAATGATTACGTCCTTCCTCGGTATCGGCGTCTGAGCCGGTACCGTTGCAGCGTTCAATTTGTTGAACGCGTGCACTATCCGCCACCCTCCTGTTGCTTTTCGCACACAGAAGATCGGAGAGCTATGTGGGGAATTTGATTCCCTCACATGGCCCGCTGCTAAACGATCGGCAAAGAACTTGTCGATCGCAAGTACTTGTTCACGAGGCAGTGGCCACTGCTTCATGACACAGTACTTCGAGCCTGGTTTAAGCTCGACTTCGTGTCGAATACCTTTATCCTTCGGTAATTCGCACGGAACAGTTTCAGGTAATACATCCTTGAATTCAACCAAATCTTCATAGAGAGGATTTTTCTTGAGCGATTCCCATGATTGGGAGTCATATCGCTCAATTCGTGTCTTTTCATCTAGGACACTCTCGTCCATAGATGAACTACTGAGAACTCTCTCGTTCTCAGTAAACACTGTTGCTGACCTTATGTCGGTTACACACTCGTCGTCAGCGACGAGTATGCAGATCTGCTTGACTTTGCCACTACGCAGATCACGCAAGAACCTTTTATGTTCGAGCGTTGGCAACTGAGTGATCTCCGAAGTTAACTTTGGAGGCGCAATCAGATCAAGTGTATAAGCGCCTACACTTGATCCGTTATTGACTATGACATTCAATGTCTCTGTCATTTCCTGGGGACTTATTCCCTCAGGCTTTGAAGGACTTATTCCTTCGTCTTCCCGGGGACTTATTCCCGCGGGTTTCGGGGAACTTATTTCCGCCGTATTTGTGATCTTGGGACTTATTCCCTTTACTTCCTCTAGCTGGGGTTGCGCAACCACAGCGAGATCCTCTACGAAAGACTCTCCAGTCGATCTAGGATTATCGTTTCGCTTAACCTGAGCGATCGATTGTTTCTCTTCTAGATGTTCCCCGCTAGGGATACATCTTTGTCCCAGTCCACCCGACTTATTCGAGTGGTGGACCTTCGGCGCAGCCTGTGTTTCCTCACAGCCGCCGGAACTTTGCTCCGAAGTGTAACCGTTTGGTACACTAAGGTTTTGTGCAGTCGTACTAACGACCGTACCACAAGTGAGGCCATCGCACTCACTCGTAGTACATCCACACGCTTGTGGACGCTCCAAAACGTTCATCAGATGGCCATCTGATGAACAAGCGGCAGGCATCGTTACTGTCCGATGTTGCCAGTTTACCCGTGGTTCGTACCTTCTGAGCCACGGTATTCCAAGGATGACATCAAATTTGTCATCCAAATCCAATACGATAAAGTCATCGTCATATTGGGTATATTCTAGCGTATAGTGGATCTTCACTATACGCTTCATGACGGTTACGGATGCGCCTGTCGCAAGACGTACCGTCATCCTCGTAGGAGGTGTGTCACATTCACTGAATTTAAAGTGACCATCTTCTAGCGATTGGCGTCGCACAAAATTGTTGGACGCCCCACAATCGACTAGAGCTCGAAGGGACAACTTATTTGTCACTTCGAGTTTCAAGGTAATGAGTGAGTCCTCATTACCTAGAGCAGCAACGCACAACGTTTTTGCGTTGGGAGCAACCTTCATCAAGAGGCCTACAAATTCTCTTGACGTTGCTGGACCAGTAGGGTGCTCCGCACCTACTGATCCTGTCCGTTTTTTGACGGTCCATCCCGTTGTTGCGTCTTTGCACCAACTGCGGACCCTCGTCCCTGCCCCTTTCTCATGGGTGGACGGTCACTACGCCCAGTGTCGCGAGACACTGGACGAGGGGCACTACACTTGTAAGCGTAGTGTCCTGTCTTTTGACATCTGTTGCATCTCTGCAACTTCTTGTAGCCTGTAGAGCGAGCCTTCTCGCTCTCTACAATAACAGAGTTCCATCGGCTCTGGACCTCCGCTGTCATATCGTCTCGGTTGACGATATGATGTCGAGCTGGCGCGAGCCTGTCTCAGACTGAAGTCTTCCTGCTCCGCAATGGAAATGGCTTGTTCTAGTGAATCTAGTTCAAGCCGGAACAGGTGAGTCTTGACGGGACCATCCGCAAGACCCTGCATGAACACCGAAACCAACGTGTGTTCATCCACCGGATTGGAACTTATACAACTCGTAAGATGTCGTATATGTTGGGCGTAAGCGTGCACATCACGCTTACCCTGTTTGAGCTTCAAGAGTTCGGTTCGAGCCCTGAACTCAGCTCTAGGCGGTTCAAACGTTTGTCTGAGCCGCGACTTGAAGACTTCCAACGACCCAAACGCATATGGGTCGTGCAACTTGAGCCCCAGTGCCCAAGTCTTGGCACGTCCTGCCAGATTTGACTGGGCAAATGCAACTTGCATATCCCCGTCGTCGATGCGACGCGCCCTTATGGCGTCATCCAATTCGACGAACCATCTCAAGAGGGAGTCTTCTTCGACCCCCCTATACTTTGAGATGTCAATCTTCAAAGTCTCGGGTCGACGCGAGTGCATCGACCCGCCAGCAGCAGCCTGCTGCTGTCTCAACAGTTCAAACTGTTGAGCACCTTGTTTTCTCAACAACTCTGCTTGTTGAGAACCTTGTTGGTGAAGCAAGGCTACTTTCTCGCGTTCAGCGTCAAGTTCATTTTGAATGAACTTGGCGATAGTAGCATGTTGGGCATCTCTATTGAGAGCCTCTAGCATGACGCTAACAGCATGGATGCCCATGGTCGAACCCATTCGTTCAACCGCATCCCATTCGACATCGCTCAAATGGGAGTAGCCATCACGCGTAGCGTGAAAGCTTTGGTCATCTTCATCATCCAACATATTCATGTTGGATGTGAACGCGGTCCTTGGACGGACTAAGAAGTGCTACCAGGTGTAACGGGGCACCCTGAAGCTTGTACTGGTGACAGTACAAGCTACTTATTCTGATGACAGAATAAGGCGGTGCCTCGTAACTTCACGTACACTCGTACGTGCAGAGGAAGACGGTAAGAAGAAGCGAGTACTTGGTTAGAGTAAAAAGTAGAACTGTATTTATAATAGTTAATGTCTGCAATAAATCACTATTTATCTTCATCTAACTATGTCTAAATACAAATGTGTAAATCAGTTATCTGCTCACCACTCATTGCGTGCGTCTGTCGTGGCGCGTCTTCGTTGGTTGATATAATGGCCTATATCAACCAATTAGGAACTACTTGTAAGTGCTACAGAATATTTGTCCTTATGACAATATTCTGAGAATATAACTCTTATAGTTATATTCTATTAACAATTTCGTATGAATTGTTATGTAACGATTCACCCCGTTACAATTGCAATCTTCAACGCGCAGTTTCCTGGTTCCAAGGCCCTTTTTGCCTTTGAAATTGCGACTAGCCATGCGGCCTTTGCGGCCAATGCTCTGGTCGCCTCACGTATGAATCTTGGACCTGGAAGAAAGCAATCAGCAATGAGGGATGGATTGCGTCCTGATGGAACGGCCTAATCTATGGTATCTCATGCCGACCACCCTCTCGCTGGGCAATTAAAAGGAATCAAGGCTGTTCTGCAAGACCGGAATCTGTGGACGCAGAATCTTCGTTTTGATTGCCGCGATGAGTGCGCTTACACCGGCAGTTGCTGCGCCCGCAGTGTCATCCAGTATCAACCTGATTCAAGAGGCAAAAATGAATTTTGGAAGAGACTATTATTGCAGCCGGCCATCACATCATTTTTTACCCTAACTTCCATTTCGAACTGGACTTCATCGAAAGGTTCTGGGAGAATCAAAACGCCATGCCCGGAAAAATTGCGACTACACGTTCAAAGGCCTCGAGCAGATGATTCCAAAATCCGTAACATTCGTCTCTCTCACTACCAACCGCCGCCATACTCGAAAGTGAATTCGGCACAAGGACGTATATCGAAAGAATCTGACTGGAAAGGCCGCCGGATGCGCCGTAAAGAAGTATCGGTCGCAGGTCCCAACTTCAATTTTGATGGACATGAACGTTATAGCTGCTGCAAAATTAGTTTTTTTAAGAACATTGGGAAAAAGGAAAAACCCGAAAAAAACCTATGCAGAAATTTGTAGGGGGCCAAATGTGTCTCGCCGCAAGCCAAGGTTAATGTAATTTTCCGAACTTTAGGGTCCTATGACTTCGCAAAAGATTTGTCAAATGTAAATTTGAGACCTTAGGAGTGAAGCAAGTAGCATACTCCAGCCATCTATGGCCTTAGATTTGTGTTGTAAGAAGTTTAGGGTGACGAGTAGCTGAGTGACGGAGATCGGAAAATGTTACAGGTTATAGGTGGTGCGCACTGTAGGACCAAGATGGCTACAGCATACCCCGTCGAAGTGGACGTCCTGATGGTGTGGGTGTCATTTCGTCACATCATTTCTAAACACAAACACGGGAACAACAAGCGCTTCTTATTCTGTAAAATACCGAATAGTGACATTCCAATTAATTCTATTTTGACCTTAATATTGACTAATGCAGACACTTCGTGACGACGTAGCTCCTCACGCTACCGACACCGAGATCCTCCTTTCCTCCGTCGATGTACCTACTCCTCAAGAATCTGGTGACGCTGTTATCGACGTTGTCGCACACCGTTTCCCGTTCTGTCTCGTGTGGTCTCCTATTCCCGTCCTCACATGGTTTGTGCCCTTTATTGGGCATTTAGGTATCGCAGACAGTAAAGGGTGAGCATTTTGGATGCAATTATGGCAATATCGTCTGTACCAAAACCACAAGAGTTGCTCATTTTATTGCATCTATTATTTTCGTGATTGATTTTACAATTAATTGTTGGTATTATTCTCCTAATTTATGTTGACAATTATTCTCAGCATTATCTTCGACTTTGCCGGGCCCTATACGATCGGCCGCAATGACTTTGCCTTTGGTGCCCCCACCCGCTACTTGCAATGCCAAGTGGCGCCTGAAAATGTGACAGAATGGGACGAAGCTATAGCTGCAGGTGGCCGGATGTATGAAAAACGGATGCACAATTTGTGCTGTGACAACTGCCACTCTCATGTCGCCGCGTGTCTCGAACGCACCGCTTATGCGGGTCGTAAACGGTATAATATGGTTTATCTCTGCTTTTGGATGTTCATTCGGGGAAAGTATGTGGGTGTCGCAGGCTTTATCAAGACGTGGCTGCCATTTGTCATCGTGGTGGCATCATTTGTCATTTGTGGAGTGTTGACGGCATAAGAGCGGCAGAAGATGGAGATGGGGGACTATTGCATGCAAGAGAGAGAGAGAGAGACAGATTGACAAGCATTGACTACTGCTCATGCGAGACTTGTTCTGATTGAGTGATGCTGCTATTTGATTCCTGTGATCCTGTTTGCCACTTTGGAAATATCTTTGTGAGGCACTTCCAGTTTGATCCCGTGACCATGATGCTTGCATATGTGCTCTCTCAAAGTTATGTCCGAGAGGAGACGGCCAATACACGCAATGATTTCCGACCATTTCCACCACCGAATTCTCCGCTTCGAGTGGATCACAGTGCTCCCTTGCAAGTCGAGGCCGAGGACGAAGAGGACGAGAACGAAAACGATGGAATCGACTTTCAACGCGTCAGGGAAGAGCTAGACCGTTTACTGGACGAAGATCCTTGTGATTCAGATGACGACGTGGTTGATGAAAGTCAAGACGAGGACTTTACCAGTGTGCTGTACCGATTTAATCGGCCGAGACCTACGATCAAGTTTTACAGTGCTGGCAGAATGAGCCGCTCGCTCTGAGTTTGCATCTGATCATTGAGTCAGACTTCACCATCGTACGGATGCTTACGTTTTTCCCTTCTTGCCGATCCAGCGCTCGCGATCGCCATCACAAGTGACCATTCGTTTTACAGCACGACACGATATCCACTAAATTTGCAATCGATCAGAAATTTCTCGCACCTGTTTCATGGTAATTGCTTTTTGTGACTGACTGGACGAATCAGAAGAAAACGTGCTGAATGTTCTCGGAATTGTTACGGAGCGTTGCACGCACTACAACCCGGTCGTATTTCATGCAGTTCGGCCGCGTCGTCTATTGTTATTAGCATTCACATTTTGCACCGCTAGCACTTGTACCATTGCTGTCGTTGGAGTCGCATTCATCGTTAAAATGCTGTCTCAGCTATGAAAGTTGCCAGCTTCCTATACGTGACGACTTCCCTTGCAATTGTTTCAGCAAATTAGATACACAACCTCTCTACTGATGTGTCGACTATACGATGACCGGCCTTGTCTACAAGCCTCGGCCGCTGATGGTGTTTTCATATGATGAGACATCAATCGAATCGCAAATGACCATAAGGTGGACTCGAACACTAAAGCTTACTGAACAAACCCAGCGATCCCGTTTATCGATACACATCTCTCTCAAGAAACGACCATGAGCTGCTCCGTGTTCTTTCAAACCTGATTTATCTGCATTGGGTAACGGGAAGGCTGTTTAAATGACATCCTGCTTGCCCGCATTCGAAACTAGGAAGAACTCCGTTGGATCCGGTTGATCGCAAACTCAAGTATTTGGTCTTAAAGTCGATATCTCGAGAGCCTAGTGGTCAACTTGTAGCCAGGAAATAACACTCGAGTCTAGCTGAAGCATCCCCAGAGGTTTAAGACGATTGTTCTTTATTTAATGATGCACAGAAGAGAACTATAGCTCTATGCTACCATCTTTAGTCTCCGACAACTGCATTAAGTGCATGCAACCACACAGGTGCTGTGAAATGAAAAAATAATATGGCAATGTTTGTGCGACTGGAAAGAAATAGTACTAGGATGGTGGAAAGCTGGCACTTAAGCTGTGTAATATCAATTACGTCGAATCTGTAGATCTTTTGGTACGATACAGATATGACGGGCACGAAACACACGACATTTTCAGTTCAGTCTTTTGCATATTTGGGAGAACTCTACCATATACGTGCAACATCATCGCGCCTCTTGATTTCTGCTCTCATGATAGATTTTCTACAAGTGCACGTACGATATGTTTGTAGAAGCTGGCATGGTCAAATAGCACCAAATTGCAAGCATCATCTATGGATCTCTGAATTAGAAGCAGCAACAACGAATATGTTGTCAATGTTGTCAATATCACGGATCCAGATGTCGGCAAAAAAGCCAGAAGTCTAATGACTGTCGAAATGTTACATTCGCAACATTGCTCCGACTTTACAGAACACTTCAATTCGACCATTCATAGCAGTACTTCCGTGCTAAGACTGATTCGGACGAACGGCACCTCCAGATCGATCCCCGACATCTACCAATCTTTTTGATGCACGCACATCAAGTACAGGACTGAAAGCTCTGATTTTAGATATACGTCGATTGTCTTCAGCACGATACAAACTAAGATTGAACCTCGTGAGGACCGGGTATGCGCAATAATACACCATACCGCATCTTACTGAACTGCATGAGACAATGAAGTACCCGATGATTTTGCTGATCTTGCTTCCCCTCCACCTATTGTACCGGCGGCTGTAGGAGTCGGACACGTTTGAGCTACTATATTGTTGCCAAAACTACACGAGATTGCGGCAGCTACAGCTACATCCTGCTGCAAAAGTCCGCCGTTGACTTTCGATGACAATGGTGCACTCATGCAAACAATGGAGCCACAAGCGAGTGAGACATACAGCATTTTCTCGAGTACAAATGTTCACTACCAGCCAAGGCCTTCGAGACCGGTCTTCACTTTGCAGTATTGTTACGAAACACTTCTTTTGTTACGTAACTCGGCTTGAAATATAAACGGTCGACATCTTGCGAAGCGCAAGACGCTGCATTACAAGCAAAGTTGAGCTGAGGTCATGTGTCACTTGTCACTTGTGAGCTACTTATCTAGCTGGTAGCATGCAACCCATTTTTCGTCTCGAGTGACCTGCAGGGTTTGCAGAAAGTTGGAAGCCACGTAGGCAAAGTTTACATCGTCGATCAATCAATTTGCTTCAACTTCTTCGTCAACGATTAAATTTGCTCAATGATCTAGTCTACTCTGTTCATCTCGCTTGCTTTTCCATCTGCACATGTTATAAGCCTGTGTACAATTGCATATATAATACTCGGTTTTGAATGGCCATGTCTTGCCCCTCATCTTCTTCGTCATCCGTGAGCACCATCTCGTCAACCAGATCTTTCAAATACGGATGTTTGTCCACCAACGCCGCAGCGTCCCAGAATCCTCGTCTCGCCAAATACTCGACGAAGCCCAATTTGCCCACACAGTCGCGTTTACAGTTTCTCGCGAGCCACCTGGCCACGTCTTCATGTCCCGCATATATGGCATTCACAATGGCCGACTGCGAACACCCTTCATCTCGATGCGTATAAAGCCACTGGATCACGTCTAAATGACCCGACGTTGCAGCATTGTCAATCGCATAATGCGTCGCGCCTTCTGTTCGATTCGAATGTAGCCACTTTATGACCTTCACGTGGCCATGTTGCGCAGCAAAGTCAATCGCGTTGCTCGTACAGCCTTCGTGACGGTGCTCATGCAGCCACTGGACAATCTCCAAGTGGCCGTTACAAGCAGCCATGTCCATGGCATCCGTCGTGCAGCCCTCACGTCGGTTCGCGTGCAACCACTGCACAACATCCAGGTGGCCAAACTCGGCCGCCGAGTCCATTGCTTCTTGGCAGCAGCAGTCAAACGCCGTTGGGTGACGACGACTCAAGCGTTGCACGAGATGCAAGTGCCCAGCAAGTGCCGCACGCATCAACGTCCACTGGGAGGAGACGTCGAGAAATGCATTCACATGGTGGAGCACGAGGTCAGTGCCGGCGTTATAGCGGTCGCATATGGCTACAACTGCTGGTGAGATCCCTCCGTCGTCCATTGGGCTCAAGTGCTCGCCCACTCAGTCACTCTCTCGATCAAATGCAATAGTGACTCGACTCTTGGACGATAAAAGGAACGGCGTGACGAGTCGTGTCGCGTATGTGGTGGTTACACGAGACGAGGAGCTCCTCTCCTCCTCCAATCAGCTGTTACTCACGACGTCCACCCCTCCCCGTCTGCAACACACCGTCAGGTGTCCAGCTTGATCGAAAAAACCAAAGCCCTTTTTTTATTTTCCGTTTTTCCAGCTGTTTCACGTGACGTTTATGTCGGTTGATGATGATGCAAACAGTCTCTTCTTTGCTCGTCCTTCGTTTCTCGGCTTGGTTTTCCTTCTCAGCAACCTTGCGCTTTATATATCCGGTTTCTGTTTTTTTTCTGGACAGTTGCGGTCATGATAAAGACGCGTCGACGAGCTCTTTAGAGGCATGTTCGTTATAACAGCGATCTTGAACACCCGAGTAGCCCAGATCTGCACTGACCACAGACCAGGGAGATTCTGTGTTATAACGTGGTCGAAAAGGTGCGTATCGTTTGACGGTTTCGATTCTCGCTTCAAGCGGCGGTGATAGTAGAGACGATAGTTCTTCACCACGTCATTTTATAAAAAGCACTTTTTATTCAACGGATCGTTTGATCGGAACACAGGCAAGGACTGCTCCTGTAAAAACAAAACCATGTAACGTCAACAGCGTGTCAGGATCCCGAGGGTTTCAGCAGCATTTTTATGTAAGGGAGTCACACAACTACCGCGTGGGTCTGTAAAGGTGAGCAAAGGTAAAAAATGGTCGACAGAGTTAATTGTGGCCTTTCTTGGCTCTAACATTTGCGAGCTGTGACGGACCACTCAAATGAGTCGCTATTATAGTTCAGTCCTCACGAGAATGCCACGTAGCGTTTGCGTCACGGGATGATGACAAAGCGACGTTTTCAGTCATCGAAGTTGTACCGTTGGTAAGATCAGCTTTCCTTCTATACCGGGAGGTTTACCACCTGACGCAGCGGCTGCAAAACCTGGGCTATAAATCATGCATTCTTGATTGCCATATGCTCATCTTGAACACCTTTTCTGATGCTATTGTGAAGTTGCTTACCAATTACGTTGTCGTGATTACTATGTTGTTGAAGCTGATGTTTGGCATATTGCCAGTGGTTGGGCGTTACAACCGCACATGGAAGCATTCATGCTGCAACTTGAACGTCCAAATGACGCCTGTTTGTGGAGTCTTTGTTCAGAGACCAATTGCAGGTACGGCAGTAAACAGTCAAGGTCATCAAACTTTCGACGTAAAAGGGTGTAAAAGATACATTGACAAGTACATCACTATCGGAAAGGCAAGTCGTTCTTCTTGGCGATTGCCGACATTACGACGCAAATACTAGGAACAACGATGGTCTCAAGGCAACAAAAGGGACAGTACAGTCTTTTTTGTGCTGATCTTCGCTCGAAAGCAGCCGTAACTGGTAGCGAATCGCATGCTCTTTGTTTTAGACGAAGATGAGGACCACCGTAATCAGAGTATTGACACAAGATTTCATATTTACGCGCAGGAGTGATATGCTACAGGCTGAGAGCCGCCCCTAGTCAAGCTGCACTACCTTTTATCTTGGACTCCGTCGCACGTACCATTTGCTGCAGCATATCTTTGGCGTAACGCAAGCGCTTGCCTAGATCGGGTTGCTCGGATGTGAGGATGGCCGTTGCGGATGGAAACACAGCCAGGTCACCATCACGATTTAGATACGTCGCAACACAAGCGTTTGCGGATAGCATAAGCTTCGACTTGTCGAAGAAATTGAACTGAATTGTTCTGTTAGAGAGCTGGAAAAGCACCGCATGACGAGTCTTGACCCACTTCATCACAAACACCATTCGTTGGGTGGAACCATCGCCACTACAGTTTTCAAGCGTCCCGATATCCGTGTCAACTCCACGAGACGATAGCACGAAAGACCTGGCGAGCTGACTTTCGAGAATATCTGCCTCGTCATTTTCTGCACGGGCATCCACTAAATAGCCTTTGAAGTGGCCAAGTAGCGACACTTTCTTGTTGAGCGCATGATCGTAATTGTCCATTGTGTAGTGGACTTGAGATTCTAAACCTGGGTTATGACTGCTTTGGCGTTCAATGTACTCGAAGACCCGTCCGTCTGCCGATGATATCATTTTAGTAGAGTCGTTGAAGTACACTCCCGATCCACCGTTCGAAAGCATGTAGCCGATACCATACTTTGACGTGTAGTCGACCCATTGCGATATCCACAACGTCGCGGGAACAAGCGGACAGACAGCCTCTGCCTCGGCGCGAATCTTCTTCAGTCTTTGTGCTGCAGCAACGATTGTAGCAGCAGGGGACGACCCACTTAACCTTGTGTCGCCGCCTTCGCTGCTGTGAGTGTGCTCTTGCAGGTAGAAAAATCGTGATAATGTCTTATACGCCGACTCCAACACGTCTTGGAAACAAACCTGGGCACTCGTTGTCCTGTTGTGCGATAATCTGACAGCTGTAGTGCTACCACTAGGTGCCAGCTGTGTTGTAGTCGAACCTAGAAGCCCTGCCGTTTTCCCAGAGCCGTCGCGTTTATGAGCACGAGGCAGCAACTGCAATAGGTTGGGCAATGCCCCGGGATCGGAAGCGCGCTGAGTGTGAGCATTCACATCGCTCGTCAGGAGCGGATACTGCTTTGATGCAGCAGACGGCGTCGAGTCGACATCTTCAGCTGAGCCTGCAAAATCTTCGTTGTCACTATGACGGGTAGCAAACGATTGATGTTTGCATGAAGGTGGTGTCACAAGCAGTGCAGTTCGTGGCAAACTTGCCGGCACGAACTCATCGGCCAAGAAAGGATGCTTCAAAATCTGATCCAGTGAAAGTCGCGCACCAGGATCATTGCGCAGGATTCTACGAACAAGCGATTGGGCCAACCGTGAAACATGCACCGTCTCCGGGAAGTCGTACTGATTGGCACGTATAAGCTTGTAGGTGGCCTTGACGTCGTTTGTTTCGAATGGGGGTCTTCCCACAAGCATCGTGTACATGACAACACCAGTAGACCAAATATCTACTTCGAAACTGTGTCCATCGCCCCGCTGTCCATTCAAAATCTCAGGTGCAATATAGTTGGGTGTGCCACACATGGTCCGCTTACGGTCTTCAGGATCATCAAGTCGAGCCGCAAGACCAAAGTCGCCAATCTTCAGACGCATGTCTGACGTGAGAAATAGGTTCCCCAACTTAAGGTCGCGATGAATCACCAGGGCTTCGTGTAAGTATGCCAGTCCTTCCACGAGTTGACGCATGTAGAACCGCACTTCGCTCTCGGACAGTCGCTTTCTCCGCCGCATCAAGTCCGCCATTGATTGGTTGCGACACAACTCTAGCAAAATGTATGCATTGTCTTCGTCTTCAAAGAAATGCTCAAACTGTACAATCTGTGGGTGATGCAGCGACTTGTGAATTTTAATCTCCGACGTAAACTGCAGTCATGCGCACAAAGAAAAAGGAGAGAAACACACAAAAACATTCATAAGAGAACCACCACCAGGAGTCAACCCAACACCGATCAATCCACTGCACGATATGCACAAAACAACTCACTTTCTGCTTGGTCTTCAGTTTCAACAGTGAGCTCTTGGCCACCACTTTAGCAGCATAACTCTTCCCTGTCTGCTTGCACGTCAGCTCATAGCAGCGCGCAAATCCTCCCTACACACCCGATAATTGCAACAAACGAATCAAAAAAAAAACGTCAGCATGCCTCTGCACTTTAATCTCCCTCTAAATCGGCATCGTACCTTGCCGAGAAACTTGCCTTTCACGTACGTTCGTGTCGCAACGTCACCTCGAGCACTCACACACGTTTCGAATATCTGATTCGGCACAACCGGCTGCGGCGTCGCCTCCTTCTTCTTCTTCTTCTTCTTTGTAGTCTTCACGTTGTCCTGATTCTGATTCTGATCCGCAGTCTCAACAGCTCGAGCAAACACTGGGTCAATGACGCGGGCCATCTCCGCATTCTCGTCTCGATCGCTGATTGGCTGAAAACATGACGACAGAGCGTGGTTCGGACTATTCGAAGCACGACGGCGCTGCACGAGCTTGAACCGGTCGCTGTCGTACACGCGACGAGGTGGAGCGTTGCTGCTGCTGCTGGTGATGCGCTGCTTGATGTGCAAAGCAGGGGCGCTCGACGTGGAGAAGTCTTCAATCGTCGCGCCTTCAGTCACGTCGGGCATCGTCATGTCTAGCTATAAAAAAATCCCGACCGTCGCGTCGAGATAATTGTTAAGCGAAAGTTAAAATCGTGTGCAAAAGCGGGACGCGGGTCGATCTTTTGGGATTAATATGTTGGATGGGAGGCTCGGCTGTTTGTGGGGAAACAATGGTGGTTCCGGGGAGTCGTTGGAGTTACTGGTCGAGCATCTTCTTTGTAAAAAGGCGCTGTGAGTATTTTTATCTTGGTTTGTAGATCTTTTTCTTCGCTTCGATTTTTATCGAATAGAAGCAATGGTTTCGGTGTTTATACCACGCCGTCCTTTCATCGCTCCCGTTCGAAACTGTTTTTTATTTTAAGAGAAAGGACGTGCCTACTGAAAGAGTCTGGACTTATCGCAAGCAAAAGTCTCTTCTCACCGTGCAAGCGTCGGGCCAAACGGACGTCTTAGCACGGTACTGAAACAAAACCAATTTGTAAGCAAACAGAATGTAAGACATACCGACTGCATATCCACGTCTCGTATGCTCTGTGTCGTCTTCCCTCAATCATTGAAAAATAAAATTGATGCAAGGCAGACAGTAAGTGAGTGATCGTTGACCGATGGAACGGTGCAGCATCCTGTGGCGGAACGCCAGTAGTTATCGATAATGAAGTTGGTTGCAAGTAAACAACAAGGCGAAGGAACCCAGTTGGTGGTAGAGCAAGCTCAAGCCAAAGCAATGACAAGATCTCATACGTGTAGTTTAACCTAGATTGCATAACACCTACGTAGGTAAGGGCGCGCACTAGTGTGAAGTGAGTCGACTGACTCACGGCGTTCAATGATCCGTTTCGCATCTGTGTCCGATGCCAAAACTCGAGCTATGCCTTAGAGCGCTATGTCATCACTGAGTCGAGATCGTATACCAAGGGCGTGTGTCGTTTAGATGTTCCAAGTCGACAGATACAAGGCTTTACCTCGGGGCGCCTCGTGATTTGGTCAAGCAGTTTGTCAAGACCAAGGATAAAAGTGTGAATCGGTTTAAGCAGCCATTTAGACGACGTGTTTTGGACACTCCACCTATTGTAAAATGTGCTCGTACGTACAGTACCACGCTGGGCGTCAACGTTTTGCCATAGAGAACCCAAGTTTTTGGCTCCAAACGAGTTAAGAGATGCACTAGCTCAATTGGTTTTCCGGAATACAAGCGTTAGGACAAAACTCAATCAGATTAGCCCATCTACGTGTATCAACCAGCATAACTTCGGATAACTGACCGATAAATGAGTCGCTCGTTTGTATTCGCAGCTCCTACAAGACTGAATTACAGCGCTCGAACTTGATCAGATAACATGATGTGTTTCAAAGGAGGTAGTCATAGCAGTGGCAAACATGTCTGGTTGATTCATGACTAGACTCTTCAACACAAATGATACGATCGTGACAAATCGAAGCAATGCACTCAGCTAAGGCAATCACACGCATCATGACAGCCGCCAAGTCTTTTCACGGTGGGTCATGTGCACACAATTCCTTGTCGGGCCGTACATTTTGAGCAGCCGGCGCGAAGTAATCTACATTCACTCCAGCATGGCTAAGACCTCACTGTAGGACGTTATGTTCAGCGAACTTCGGTGAAATTGTGCCAAGTATATCCTACGATCGATACAACATTTTGCAGAGCTTGTGCGGGTCCATCGTTTCCAATACGTCGAATCGATCAACTCCAAGCGAGAGTCGCTGAGAGATAAGAGTACAGCAAAACTCGTCTCCTTGCTGCAGCCTCGAGAGCATGCAATTTCCTAAGCACGACTGTGCCAATGATCGTGGGTACTGCCACATTGCGAAATTGAGCTATGACTCCCCTTACTTTTACGGATGAGCAAATGCATGCCTGTCAATACATACGTCGTTGTCCGAGCGACTGAGACACAAGTATGTTACAGAGGTCTGGACAGCATCACAAGCGGGACGCAATGCCATCTTTAGTTGAGCTTGCATGCTCAAGATTGGTTACCTCCTGTAACTGAAGTCAAAAGACCTCCATCAGCCTGTACCCATTGCGCTCCTTTTCTATACAAATAGTGCACATGTCGTCGTCTACTTTTTGGTTCGCGTGCTTATCCGATCGCAGTTAAAGTGGAAAAGCTCGGGAACGAAATGCTACGATCAAAAGTGGACTGTGGCATGTTTGGCACAAAACGACGGTCCGGATCGATCCAAATCGACTGCCTACGCAATACGAGGTAACTTCACTTCTAACCCGCGTCAACCTGGCACGGTGTCATCTTTGCCTGGCATTGATAGCGATCTATTCCCAGCAAAACTCCGTATCAATTTCATGGGATTCACATAATCCGTAAATGAGTCGTGAGCTTCACGACAACATTGCCAATATCGCGAGCCGTACCGTTCGTATCATTTTTGCCGCTGCACTTACGCAAGCAGATGTACACAGGAAGACGCTATTCGTATGATTGTTTCGATCGATCACTTTCAAATGCACGTATCGCTGTGTGAGTAGAAAGATGACCACATCACATCTTCCCTTCCACTGCGTAGCCTCACAACTTTGATGTTATGTAGGTTTCCAGTACGTCAAGGACCTGGAGTTTGGATCTGATTACAGCGATTTCGTGTCGTAATTCATCGAGCTAGTGTATCAAATCTAATTCCGTTTGCGTGGCGGTGACTAATGCCGTCGTGGCTACTCTGAGCTTCTGTACAAGAATGTACATCAAATAGCTGAAGTTGAGCTGACGTTCGTGCATACCCTTTGCAACAGCGATACGTGAAATGCTACTGAATGACATGTACTTGCTACAGTCAAATTCAGATCACTCTCAATTTAGTTGATCCAACAACTGTTGGCGCCTATTGTCTGGCTGCATCGCCTGTCGTCAATAAGCTCTACGAATTATCGATGTAAAACTACTTGTGCTTACGTCAACACCTAGTGTCATGTCATTGTATATAATCTGTGCGCGTTTGTACCTTACGAACTGCAGTTTAAGCTACCTTTAGAAACCTTTCTGGAGTAAAGAGCACCCGGCTGACAGAAATCGCATTAGAAACCTTGGACTATTGTAGCGTACTTCGGATCATCCATTACGTGCAGTCTACGTTGCTCTTAAAGCTGACAAGCTAATTGCGTTTTCCTGCTTATGCGGTCGCACCGGAAGTGTACTTTTGTTTCAAACAGCATATTGTGTACAAATGTTAACTCGCTTCTGTGCAAAAGAAGACATACTTCTTCGGTTGAACTACCGGGTTGAGAAACCCTGCCTCTTCATATTAAGGCATCTATCTTTCTAGCCACTCAAATCCATTTCACTTCAATGTCTTTGTCTCAACGCGGATGTGATACCCGTATGTCTGCTTGTATATTTTCTGGCAGATCCTGGCGTTTGTTCATTCCTGAGCAATGTACAGCCCTCGCGGTTTAGAATAGTTCATATCACGAGCATTTACAGCAGTCAATATCTATCCCAGAGGTTTAGATGTACGTCGGAAGCAAAGATTATCGCACGAGGGAACACTCGTGATCCGAATAACACCGTGGGTTCGAGTTTTAGAGGACCGATTGCCAGGGCCAATGTGTGCAAGTGTGGCTGCAATATCTACAGCAGATGATGGCATTCGAGAGTACGTGATGGACCATGACCACTCATCTGCTGCACAAAGTGGGACGCACTGATCTGTGCTGAGAATAGATACGATGAGTTGCGCAAATATTGGTTTGACAACCTACCAACCTTTCGATACATTCGGGTAGTGAAGGCAAGCTGTATTTTGCTATAATAACTGAGTGGCAGATGATGTGAAGGTGTCAGCATCCAGCAACTCTACGTTTTATCCCATCAGTGCCAAACTTATTGATCCTTGTTTCACCGCCAGACGTGCTCTGCGATTTCGGCTTGAGTATTGCTTTTTACAAGACCTCATGTCTATCCTGCTTGCAGTATTGATCATATTGCTTAAAGAATAGCCGGTACAAGTAGCTACCATAACGACCCACAACTGCCCAGTCAAGTGCTGGCCTCTACATCTCAGGCTACTTGCTAGGTACTGGCTGATACGCGCTGGATATTATCTCAGGCTAACCGTTTGCCTATCGGGTTGGTGGTAGTAGAGCTCAGAGTCGAAGTGAAAACCTGGTCGTTGATTGCCTGCTCAGGAAGATGTGTACTCTCTCACTCGAAGTTATGAAGCGATTGTCGAAAAGTCTTGCCGATACGGAGGATGCTCATTGCCTTGTATGGCACATATCTGGCTGAAGTCTTAGACATGACACAACCTCCACTGCAAGGCTTTTGCACAAACTTGTCGTTCGAGTTGCATGTACATACAACTGGAGGTAAGCGTCATATTCTCTTGTGCCGGACGACGTCCAGAACTTACGTGCAATCTCGCTAGAAGGCAAAAAGAACACACGGTATCGTCTTAGTTGAATACTCTATCCTTGAACTCAGGAGGTCGAGCTCCTGCTGACTATACTCTTTGGCGGCAGCGGCTTATCGGCTATAATTTTACTAAGGTCGACTTGATGCGTATCTTCAACACGTCAGCACAGTAAATCGAAGAAGAGGACTTGATCCTGCATGGTTAGGCATCATAACTCTCCAAAGGCTCAAGCCATCGGCTTGAAACCTCGAGAAAGCTCGTCTATAGGATGAATCGAATAGCGATCACTACGAACGTAACAAGCAGTTACTTGACGCTTTCATTGCTGCAAAGCTCATATTACAACGATACAGCCAGGCTCATTGCCAAAGCCGACATCAGCTAGTGCTACTTGTGGCTAGAGCAGTGCAATGCTGATACGTGTGCATTGACCCGCATTGCTTGCTCGACGCAACGACAGCGTCGAGTTTTTGTCACTATACGATCTACCACGGCTTCAGTCGCCTAACAGCCAGAGCTGGGACTCCTTCATCAGTTTCTAGGAGCATCCGCTGCCATGTAAGCGGTGTGGATCTAAGTGATCGGGATACGCACATCCATTTTACCCATACTACAATTCCACGATGTACGTTTCCGGGTCAACGTCACTTTACACTAAATCACGATTGCAGGTTGAAACAACACCGGCAACTTGACTAACACCACTCCTATATCATCCGCATTGACGCGATGCATTCAACCATTATTGTTTTTGTAGGTATGGGAGCGCCTGACGAGCTGGACACTAACCCGGCAGCAAGGGGCAGTGCTAGGACAACCGTGCATACTACAGCAGCCGAGACACATTCGCTGAGGCATAGTCACAAAAGCTAGCTTTGAGCCTTCAACTTGTGCTTCACGACACCGGTGGCGCAGGTCTATCAAACTGTATGTAACAAGTTGTACACAATATGCGTGTCCTGACGTCATTCATGACTTCAGTGCATGTCAAGACCTCAGGACATTAGGCATGACGACTCAGCCATCATCCTTGCAGGTATCTTCGATAGTGGGTTAGCTGATCGATACTTGGCGACGATACGTCTTGGTAATAACCGACTCGTCGCTGATGTCGTATCTAAAGTGCCCTTTGCCATTGACTCGCAGTCATTTCAAATCGTCAGTGTACTACTGTGTACATGCAACGCAGAACAAGTCAACACAACTCATGAATAAAGCTTGACTTCAGCTGTTCAAATGATTAGCAAAACGTATCGTGGTTTATCTTCTGAACAAACCTTACAAACAAGTCAAAGAGCAGGAAAAGTGGCTGACTGATGTACTAATGACGCCGGGCCGACCCAAGATAAGTAGCGACTGTCAGTCAAAGCAGATACCTGAATTAGTGAGTGAGTAAGTGGAGTGCACGATGTCGCCTATCTGAATAAGCGCGATCTTGCAGCTGAAAGTCCAAGCAAATCCAGGAGAGACGATAGCGAGCAACGACGCTCGGGTCCACAATCACAGCGTCTAGCAAGTCTTCGTGCTTTGCACCGGCAGGAAAATAGTGCCGTCATAGCTTCGGTCCAAGTCGGTCCAGCACCGATCGCTTCTTTGCCTGTGGCTCACCGGATCCCTTGCCTCCTCGATCATCCTTCTTCTTGCGAGAGGACCGCTTCCGGTCATTCCCACCACTTTTTCCTTCATTCTCCACCTCGATCCGTCGTTTGTCATCGTCACCACCAGCGCCGCCCCCACCTCCGCCGTTGCCACCAGATCCACCACCGCCACGACGACGATTTCTCCCGCCGCGTGAGCCACGGGAGGAGCCGGAAGCTGTCGTGACCACGCGTCCGCTGCCGCCTGTGCTCTTCTCATTACGAAGCTCCTTCTCAGCACTGCGACGTCGCTTGCGGTCACCTCCCATAGAAGCACCGTCGTCAGCAATATCGCGACCACGCTTAGCTTCGCGTTCTTTGCGATCACGTGGACGATCACGTTTTCCATCTAAAGCTTTCTCGCGGTCACGAGGTTGATCTTTCTCAATTGTCTGATCGCGGTCGCGATCCCGATCACGATCGCGGTTGCCCCGATTTCGAACACGGTCGCGATCGCGGTCTCCACCACCACCCTGACCCTTCATACGTGACAACGATGAGCCTTTATCCTCTCCACGATTGCCTCGATCTCGAACACGGTCGCGATCACGGTCTCCACCACTGTCGTGACCCTTCATACGGGACGAAGATGAGCCATTCTCTTCTGCGCGCTTGGTTGAAGAATCTGCTCGTCGACGGGACGATTCTCGAGATAATTCACGCCGAGACTGCGAGCGCGAGCGACTACGGCGGCTACGAGATAACGACTCCACTCGCTTCTCTGATGTCGGGCTACGGTCACGCTCGCGATCGCGATTTCGTCCACGGCTAGAGCGGCTGCCAGCCTTTTCATGTTTCCGAGACGGAGAGCGGCTACTGCCTTTGCGACCACAGTCCTCCTTCTGCTCACGCGAATCATGTTTACGAGAGCGCTTATCTTCATTAGACTTGAAATCATTGCCTGTCATACTTGCATCGCTTTTCTTACGGTCGAGCGCAGCGGGAGTTGTCGGAAGGGAAGTCTCGTTATCACTTGCATCCATTGCTTCAGCCAAAAAGTCAAGATCAATGGCAGGCGCGGCCACCTGGTCCAACTTGACGTCCTTGACCGTGCTCACTTGGTTTTTCTCCTCTTCGTTGGGCTTTTTGTCCTTCGCACTCGTGTTTGTGCTCGAGCCACGTTTGAGGTCATTCCTGCGTTCCTTGCTTGAGCCTCTGTCGCTGTCTTTCCTCAAGTCTTTGCGGCTGTCTCTCCTCGCATCTTTGTTGCTGTCTTTCCTCGCATCTTTGTTGCTGTTTTTCCTCAAGTCTTTGCTGCTGTCTCTCCTCACGTCTTTACTTCTTCCTCTCCTCAGGTCTTTGCTGCTGTCTCCCCTCAAATCGTTGCTGCAGTCCCTCCTCAGGTCCTTGTTGCTGTCCTTCCTGGAGCCCCTGTAGCTTCCTTTTCCGGAGTCCCTGCAGCTATCTTTTCTAGCATCTTTGTCGCTGTCATCCTTCCCGGACTCCCTGCTGCTGTCTTTCCTGGACTCTCTGCTGCTGTCTTTCCTGGTATCCACGTTGTCGCTCTTCCTAGCGTCTCTGTTGCTGTCATCTTTCCTCGACTCTTTGCTGCTATCTTTTATGGACTCTTTGTTGCTGTCATCTTTCCTAGCGTCCTCCTTGATGCCATCTTTCCTAGCGCCCTTGTTGCTGTCTTTGTCCGATTCCGCGTTACAGCTCTTGCTGTCATCTTTCCTAGAGTCCTTGTTGCTGTCTTTGTTTAAGGTTGTACTGGAGCTCCGGTTCGCATCGCGAACGCTATCGGTCTTGTGCTCACGATGATGACGGCTGCGGCTCGTGCTGCGCGATCGTCTGGAGGAAGAAGCACGGGTAGTATTCGAACGTCCACGAGCTCTGTTGTCTTGCCTAGAACGCGAGTTGCTACGGCTGCGTGCTGCCTTGCGACTGCGACTATGACTCCAACTCCGCTTGCTGCGGTCTCGGTCGCCACTCCGGGCTACCCGCGTTGCATTGCCGTCACGACTACGAGACCGCCGCGATCCCTTCCCATCGCCACCACGGCGTTCGCGCTCAGGTTTTCCTTCGCGATCAGTCGATCGGTTCCGTGCGCGCGATCGATCTCTGTCACGAGAAGTAGAGCGGTCGCGGCGTCGGTCGTCATCGCGACCGCGAGACCCTTCTTTGAACCAGCGATCTCCACTGCCTTCGCGTTCACCAAACGGAGGCATCGGTCCGTCAAACCATCGCAACGGAGGTCCAAAGTAGTCAGGGTGTCCAGGTGGAGGGCCAAAGTAATCAGGACCAGGACCACCAAAGTAGCCAGGAGGAGGCATTCCACGACCCCCACGACCTCGACCGCCTCCGCGCCCGCCCTTCATAGTACCCCGGGGCCCGCCCGGCCCTGGGAATGGACCATCAAACCACGGACCAGGCCGACCGTCAAACCACGGCCCTAGCTGACCACGCGGAGGCCCGTCAAACCATGGACCGGCAGGACCATTAAAGCCCATCAACGGGCCACGAGGGCCATCAGGGCCCCATGGCATTTGGTGTCCAGGAAGACCGTGACCAGCAGAAGCGGCTTGTGGCCCTAAGCTGGGCGAGCAAGTATCCGCAGTTTTGCTTGTTTGATTCCCTCCACCAGACGACGCATCGCTTGCCTTTCGAATCGGGCCATCCGGTGCTACATCCTTGTCGTCTTTAGGAAGCGGAGGCTGCTCTGAAGGCTGCAGGGGAGACGCCAATGCCGTAGCAGCAGACTGTTGCGGTGACGCAGCATCTGCGATCTCGTCCCCGTCGCCAAAAATGTCGCCGCCAAACTCATCCTCTTCATCTTCGTCCCCGTCACCTTTTCTTCCCTTTTTTATCTCCAAAGTAGCATCCGCGCTGTCACCAGATCGACGCGTCGCGGAATTTGCGGCTAGTTCTGCAGCTTTCTGCTTGGCTAATGCTTTCTCTTCCGCTTCCTTAACCAACTGTTCCCGCTCTTGCTGCTCTGTGCGTGCACGTCTCAGAAACTCGTCCACGGAAGTCCGAAGCACCTTGTTCGGCAAAAGCTTCTCCGGTGACATATTGCTCGCGTCACAAAGCGGGCATGTAAGCTTATGCTCAATCAGGGCGCTACGCAAGCACTCGTCACAAGCAGACTGGCACGAAACAACAAATCCACGCTTTAGTCACCACCACCACACTGCGCTGACTCAAGAGATGCGGACACTGCAACTTACCTCTTGGCAGCACGGAATAAGCACAGCGTCGCTCATGAGCCGTTTGCAAAGGGGACATGCCAAGTGCTCGGGTGGATTCGAGATGAATTGATCCAAGGTGGCCGAGCCGCCTGACCGAGCCATTAATTTAGAGAAATTTTTATTCTGCGGTTCTATCACAGCTAGCCCGCCCCACGGCGCGTTCACTACCGTTTTGCCCGCACCTACGGGTATCTCGCTCGGATCGCTCACCGCCTTCATAAACGACTTGGGAATCCCCGTTTTCTTTTTCACACGATGTTGATCAAACTCTGGATCGCCATTTGTCGGGCAATTTTGGATGTAATGCCCAGGTGTGCCACATCGATAGCACACATAGTTGGTGGGTGGATTGCCGAGTGCGTTCGGACCAGCCCCAGCAGCAGCAGCAGCAGCTCCTGTGCCCCGGCCCCCACCTCTTCCATTCATTGGTCCACCGCGTCCACTAAAGTCGCCGCCTCGTCCCCCGCGACCAAACCCGCGACCACCAGCTCCACTTGTTCGTCCACCTGCTTCTCCAGCTGCGCTATTGGCTGCGTAGTAGTTCATCACGTTATTGGCATTGCTGCCGCTGGACGCTGTCCACGTTTTATTGCCGGATCGCGCGCCGCGCATATCTTCGGCCTGTTCATGGATCGACTGCAATGCCGCCATTTCGTCTTCCATTGTCTGTGCCCCTCCTTCTGCAGCCGCATCTCCCGTATTCAGCGCAAGATTACTCATTCTATCGAGCATAACGAGGATCACAATACCGGTATAAATACCACCAATAGCGCAGTATATCACCACCACCACCACAAACATTTAAACAAAACAAAACCGTCAGTACGGATATCCCACCACCTCGCTATTGTCATATTCTTAATAAGAAGAATAAAACCCACAAGCCACGTACGGCTGTGTGGGCGATAAGCCAGCGGGCAATCCCGGCGACGGTCCAGCGAACGGCGCGACAACTGGCGACGCGTGAATAGCTGCAGCAGCTGCTGCTGCCGCCGCCACAGCCGCTTCGTGCTTCATCCGAGCGAGGAGGCCACTGCCTGGCTGCTGACTCGGGATGCGCTTGACCGTGACGCTGGTGTTCCGCGGCAATTGCGTCGTCTCGTCGTCGTACACTTTGCCGTTCTGGGCGTCCGTGATCACCAGGTCAAAGTCCAGTCCCTTCGCCAGTTTCTTCTTGTCGACAATCGCCTTCTTCAAGTCCAAGACGCGGATGACTGCGCCGGGGAACGTGACGGTGTCGAACTCCTTGGCGGACTTGAACTTGAAGTGGATGGACATGGCCGCCACGTCGGGGGAGACAGGGAGTGTGCGCGTGTGGGGAGAGGGTCGACCAAGGATGGCCCCTAGCTGCTGGTGGTAGTGGGTGAATGGGTGATTGGGTGATTGGGTTTTATGGCTCGATCTGGGTGGGTGGTTCCTACAGCCTGTCGATTCGCTTGTCCGTCGTGGCGCGGTTCGTTAATGGTGAGGCGAGGGGGTGCGACGAAAATGAATACCTCTGAAAGATGATTGAATGGAGTGAGAACGAGCGTGGGGTTTTATGTGGTGAGAGGGGTGGGAACCGCGGAGATTGAATGGATTTGGACAGGAGAGGCCTTGATTTCGTTGGGCAGGATCTTGGCTACTGTGGGACACACGGACCGATGTCGACGCCAGTTCTTCGAAGCGATTTCGCCAGGAGATGCGAGTAGGGGCACTTTTTGTGAAATAGGTAGAAAAGAAGTGTTAGTTGGTGCTAATGCTGGCAGAATCGAAGCATTTGGTCCAACTCTCTCGTTCGTCTCAACATTCTACCACCTTTTCGTCGAAACTCGTTGCTTATTTAGTTTAATTCAATTCCTACGACCAAACGAGCGCTCAACTTTTACTTTATTGCTGGAGACGCAGGCTGATTGCATCGAATGTATCAGCATTAGTCCCTGTGACTCATATTTCAAGACTGCCAATAGTAGTGGTCTGTATGACTGCACCGAGTTTGTGCAGGCAACGTTTGGTGCGATGACAACAATAGTGGAGCAACAAATGCGCGCTAGCCTTCTTCATTTTTCTTGGCTCGTGTTTCACGGTCATAGATCAGTGTCCCACGAGTCGTGCTATGTCATACTACCTACCTTACAACTTATGGACAAGTTTCGAGGCTGCGGAAGGCAACTCAAAAATCCAGTCAGGCGGCAAGCTAATAAAAATTAGGACGCTGGCACGGAAGATGATACGTCGGTCATGAATCCGCGCTTCTTCGAAATCCTTTTCGGTGAGTGCTACTCGTACGATCAGTCGTCTTATTCGGCAAACGAAAGAGCAGACCTCTCCTAAAACATCAAGTGGCCGACTGAGAACCAGGGCTATGAGATTGTAACATAGATGACAGTTTTCTTCGTCCGTCTATTGTACGCATTGCTACTTGACAAAATCAAGCGGATCGACAGTACAAAATCAAACGGTCCATCGCTGCTTTGATGGTGGGGCAGAAACGTATCATACACGTTTCACCCGTCGCCACTATGCAGGCGCTTTACGCATAGGCGCATGTGTATGCTATCAATCAAAACACAAAAGTCGAGCTTAAGGCTGCTGTTGTAAGGGGCAAACAGCCGGATGGTGGTCTATGGGACCAGCAGTCTGATGTACCACGAATTGGCATTCATAATGATCATCTGCAGCAATAATTTGTTTAGCTCAACGCTCGTGTTGCAGCCGAGGTATTTGCTCTTGTAAGGACCAAGTTTTATCGTGAGCAAGTTGTTACAATATTCGCCCTGGACACCGAACAGGAACGAGATTCACATGATGGCATGTTGAGCTATGTACAATCAATTGAGGGGTATTATCACGCTAGAACCTCAGCGCGAAAACCTTTTGGAATGCCTAAGCTGGCAGTCATTATCGAGCAATACTAAAGGCTTACACAGGAGTGAAGTGCCAAGTCGCAGGACGTCGGAGTTCAGTTTTAAGCCATGTGCAGGCATTCAATTTGCCGAAAGGATCATAGCTTGTTGCACATGAAATGTCCACTCTGCGCGAAACAATTCAAGCACCTTTGCCAGCTCTCAACTAAATGTCACTACTCATTCTCACCTCCTCTTTCTCGTAGCTCAATCGGAAAGCATAGCAAACAGGTTCGAAGGCTTTGCAAGTGTCTCAGGAAGGTATTGGCACCTAGGCTCAAGACCCTTGAATTCGGTTTGTCAGTGAATCGCCAAGTATTCGAACATCATTCTTGATCAGGAATCTTGTCTTCGGTTTGCATGCGGGTCAGGTATTTTTCCATCATTCTTCACCAAAAAGCACAGTAAAACCACCTTCTCCTCGATTTCCAAAACTGCTGAAACGATCAAATCACGTCTTTGCCGCAAACAGTATTTCATCCCGACTAAAACCTTTTTTATTCCAGTCGTACAAAAGCGAAACCCAAATGTTAAAGTAGCCCCAATTTCGACAACATCCACGCACATGTCCACCACATTTCCACGGTCTCACTTAACATTCCTAAGCCATTCCTGAAGATGTCCGCGCCTCCTCCTACCACCAAGTTGTTCGTGTTCGGCCTCGGCTACTCTGCGTCCCGAGCAGCTCGTGCGTTTCACTCTGCCGGTTATTCCGTATCCGGAACCGTCCGGTCACTTGAGGCCGCTACCCGATTGGCGCAGCTCGACCCTCTTTTGTTTCGGGTTGAGCCATCCTCTAGTCATCCTCAAAGCGTGTTCCTATTTGACGGGCACACTTGGAGCGATGCAAACTCCATGTCTCTTTATGACGCACTTAATGGGGTCACCCATGTACTTATTTCTGTACCGACGGGGCACTCGGAGGGTGAGGAAGACCCGGTACTATTCGCCCTGAGGGAACCACTCCTTCGTGCCACGAAAGACTCGGTACACTGGGTAGGGTACCTATCAACGATTGGAGTGTATGGAGAGACGAATGGTGTCGAAGTGGATGAGTCGACTCCAGTTGGATCGTCGGTTCGTAGGTGTCAGCTCCGGATCAAAGCTGAACGGCTGTGGCTCGATTCGGGACTTCCGACTCATGTGTTTCGAATTGCAGGGATCTATGGCCCCCATCGAGGAACTATTGCACGAGTCCGGGCGGGAACGGCCACGAGGATCCATATTCCCGGTCGGAAATTCAACCGGATTCATGTGGACGATATCGTCAATATCTTGCTAGCATCGGCGGCTCGCCCGAATCCCGGGAGAATCTACAATGTCTGCGATGACGAACCTGCTCCAGCGGATAAGGTCACGGCTTATGCTTGTGAGCTGTTGAACGAGCGCGTACTTCCCAGACTGTCGTGGGAAGAAGCAGAGAAGACCATGAGTGCGATGGCCAAGAGTTTTTACGTAGAAAGCAGGATCTGCGCGAATCATCGAATCAAGGAAGAGCTGGACGTGAAGCTCATTTATCCGACGTACCGTGAAGGGTTTCTTGCTCAAGTGGTGGAGGAAGATCGACTTGCAAAAGGCGAGTCTGGTAGTGACGTTCTATTTCCGATTGTTGGTGAAGCATCGGAGCGGCTGGTAGTGCTTGTGAACTTTGGCTCACTGCAAGCTGAAGCGTATCTCGCCCTGCGTCAAATAGGCTTTCAACTGAGTCGGTTGATCTGCCAGCCTGTAGTGCCTTGCAGCTTTCATTTTTCGAATCGCATCGACCCTGGGAAGCTGCATGACCTCGAAGCGAAGACGTTTGACATGGTACTGAGTGACCATCTTGCTTGCCGTGGACAGAAGGCCAGCGACATTGTTATACTACCATTGTTCTTTGGAAAAAGCTGTACACTGACGGAATTCCTACCGAAAACGATCGAACGGGTGTGGGCCGCAGCAGTTCCGGTGCCCTCGGTACCGCTCACTATTCGTGTTGGTGCCTGTCTTGTCGACCAAGAAGATGCAAACAATGACCCGATCGCTCGGATCCTCATGGAGCGTATTCAAGATGTAGTGGACTTGAATACAGTAAGTGGGGATGTATTTATCCTTGTGGTGAACAATGACACACCCAATCAAGATGTGCAAAAGGCACGTGAGATCGTTGCTCAGCGGTTGCGTAGCCATCTGAAGACGAATAAGCATGTAAAACTGGTTAAATCTGCGTGCGTGCAGCGTCGTGGTGGATCTCAGTGTGATTTTGATGGACCACTCCTAGCTAAAGCTCTCGACCAATTTGTCGTTGAGAAGGGCGTCGTTGTTTGTGCCAGGATGACCATGGCGAGTGACGCTTGCGAAGATGACGATATTGACAGTATCGTCAACGCCTTCCGAACGAGTAATCCGAGCGTGGATATCCGTGTCACGGAGCCACTGAAAACGCACGATCTGCTGTCTGAGATTTTGCAGAACCGCTTTAGCAGTGCTCTATCCAAAGAGACGTGTGATTACACTTTGCCGTAGACTAGTTGGATGTGGCTTGCCAATACTACGGACGTTTGTTTTCTGCACGGTCGAGATACTGTCCGTGCGTCTGCTGGTGCTTACCATTCAGCACTTTTCAATCCTTCCGTCTTGTTTTACTATTGCTCGGTCGGGCAAAACTCTACGCTGCTGTGATTGTTTGTCAAGAAGCATCGAATAAACGGCTGTGATCCTTACTTACTCAAACAGAATGCATATGGAGTCTTTCGAAGGTGCCATAGCACGTTTTGCACGTTGCAAGATCGGCTAAAAAGCTGTAATCTAAAAAAAGGCTATTGAGCAAACCCAGTGCTTGCACCGGTGATAGTTATACGCGCAGCACTGCAGTTCACAAGCGTGAACAATGTGACATGAGAGAAACCGAAATCATGCCGTTGGTGCGTGGGAATGTGGTGATTACAATTGTATGACCTTGTGGAAGCGTGTAAAGTTGTGCGAGGCCACATGCACACTTTACCTACAAGATTCTGCATGCTTGCCAGCTGAAGAGTAGCCTACAAATGATGCGCAACGGACAGTCAATGACATCGTGAGTCTCTTGGTGATAAACTGTGCAAACTTTGACCGAGTACCACACCGAGCAAATTTGTGCAGGATAGGTATGTTCTGCTTCGCATGTAACATCCTGACTTTAGCGCCAAGATGTTGCTACAGCATCGTGCCATGAATTTCTTTACGAGGCAATTGCTTGATTACTGCCTTCTACTGCGACTTGGACAGCGAGACGCGCATTTTAATCATATTCCAAAAAAGCCATCGACCAAGCTGGGGCTCCTGACTCTTGACGCGTCGAAAGCCGTCGATTGCGAAACCAACACATGCTATGATTCAAAAAGCTACTCTTTCGACTTGTCCACTATCCCGAAAGAACACGAAAGCAGGGCGCTACCGGTAGTACCGAAGGAGCCATTAGTCATGGAATTCATAGATTGAGACCCGTTTTGTTATGATCGGCGTAGTTGTGTGTGATTTACAATCACTCAGCACAGTATCGTCAAAATGCGTCCAACCGAACGCGCACTAACTCAAGGTCCTCAGAAGTTGAGCCGACAAGGGCCTTGCCGCCGATGCGATAGCGTCTCATGCGTGAAAGGCCCTGTGTCGATAACCTCTGACGCCAGAATATCTCACTCGAGAACTCAATTGTGACTCATGAACCATGCTTGCTCTGGCATGTTTTCGTCGGTAAGCTCAAAAACCACACAAGCTTTTTCTCCATTTCGACAATTGGCTCGCACCACAACGCTCACCATGCAGGTGCAAACATCCGAAAAGATAATAAGACGATTGACAGCGTAGTGATGTCAACTATGACGATCGGCAGCAAAAACCCAGCGAGACAGAACGCAGACTCGGTGCAGCAAAATTCTCCAGACAAGTCGAAACTATACCAACAGAGCGGCTCGACAATAGGTGTAGTCACCGGAACTCCCACGTACTACAAACGTGAAGCTCGGCTCCCCCAAATGAGGCGTCTCTAATTGAGATTTGTGGTGTCTACTGGGATACAGCTCGTCTCGGCCACCAGTAGCGAAACAAAGGTTTTACATCATAAGTAATGCCGATAAAAAGAGTAGCCGATGAATGCATGAAGTTGCCTCCATATGCGGCAACTTACGCATGCACTCGATAGGACTTCAATGCCCGAACAAGGTCCGCGCTCCAAGTCCCATTTGTGCCTGGCTGCACGTTGTATCTTTCGCGACAATGAGGAATTTTTCAATCACCGTTCAAGCAAGCAGGCTGTAGAGCGGGTGCAAAGACTTGATTGCCGGCATGATTCTCACATAGCATGCAGATTTACACGTGGATGCCCGCGTTCGACGCCCGTACCATCATCAAATGTTCCACACCACCTTCTTTTGCAAACATTGAACTCGTAGCAAGCACGTGCACTATACGACGAACGGAGGTCTGTAATGAATTTCTCGACGAGGAAGATCGTGCAGTCGACGCAAACTAGCTTGCGTTGGGGCAAGATATCCGTTCTTTGGTCGAACAACCTTGGCGGCTCTTTGTTTCGGCGTCATCTGAGTATTCACCGTCGGAATCTGGACCGTAGCTCCTCGACTGCGAGCCCATCTTGCTGTCTGACGCCTTACCTCAAGCTGCCGGGCTTGCGCTCGGCTTGGTTGGCGAGTAGTGTTTGCAGCAATTTGGCCCGGACGTTGACTGTCAGCATCTTGCGATAGTTCACCTTTCGGCGTCGTGAATTCCAACACCGGGCGCGGCGCTTGAGGTCTCGTATCTGCTGCTGCTGTTGGCTCACTAGCTGCTTGCTCCGAAGTATTTTGATCATCGTCGTGTTCCTCCTCGTTCGGCTGACCAGGTGCAATAAGAAAGTCAGAATTACCGCAATCCATGCGCGATCGTCGTCGGGCACTGCTGTCATCTTGTGCTTGCTGTGACCCAGTATTTGTCGATCGACGATCAGCGCTGACCCCAGCTGACTTCGTTTTTATCTTCACACCCGCCACTTTATTCCTTGTGTTCTCGCTCTCTTCCTTTGTAGTTTTCTGACGCTGTTGTGATTGCAGCTGCTGCAGCAGTGTTTTCTGTCTCACTCGGATCCTTTCAGACAACTCCAAAGACTTCTGCAGCGATTCACAATGGACCGTAAGCTCGTCATAAGCTTTTTCGTTCTTTTTCACGTCCTCAGACTTCTTCCTGGCAGCAGCTAGTGCTTTCTTTGTTCTCACCAGCTCCAACTTCAGCTGGTCCCTTTCGATAGTGACATCGTATAGCTCTTTCACGGTTTTCACCCGACTACCTCCACATTTATTAGCCTCAAGAAGCTGCTCCTTCCCGCATTTTCGTCTCGATTTGATTGTGCTAGGCTTCTACAGTCAGAACAAAAACGTACCCATCAATACTTAGCATCAGGTCAACCTAGGAGCATATCCAGAGCTCTACCTTTTGTACCCACCTGGCTCCACTTCAAACTCTCGAGCTCGTCATCTGGCTTCTGGGACGTCCTTTTCACACTGGATCCACCCAACAATGGTCTCGAATTGCCACTAAATCGAAGCTGAAGTGTGAGACTTGCCACGTCCTTTTGGAGCTCCACGAGCCGCGCTTCAAGCTGACTGCGTCGATGGAAATGCGAGTTGGCATTCCATGAGTTGGCTACATTCCACGACTTGGCTACATCACATGAGTTGGCTACATTCCACGACTTGGCTACATCACATGAGTTGGCTACATTCCACGACTTGGCTACATCACATGAGTTGGCTACATTCCACGACTTGGCTACATCGCATGAGTTGGCTACATTATTTGAGCTCCGGTCCAGCTCATTCTTCTTGATAGACAGCGACGCACGTGAAACTGCGCGCAAGAGATGATTGTCACTGTCGTATGCATGGTAGGGATCTTGATTACGCTCTTGACGCGTCGCGGGGAGGAAGGGCGGAGTGGTCGACGACATAGCTGCCTGTGGGTGGGAATATATCAATTTTGAAGGGAGGGAGTTGTGAGATCTAATAACTGATTTGACGAAGTACTTCAAAAATAGTGATAGATGGCGTAGACTGTTGTTTATAGGCAGTAAATTCCTTCGAAAATAAATATAAAACAAATGTCAGAGTTTTCGACTCGAAGCTATTTCTTTCGACGTCCAGTTAGCTGCAAAAATAAGGCAGGAAAATGCTTTTGCTTGCAGGTATCGTATAGTTGAAGAATCTGTGGTAGCTAATTTTGATGGCACGCCTTTATGCAAAGAATTTAATGTTGCTATGTGCGCAGTTCCAAATACGATAATAAAGGTTGAGGCATTTTTGTTGTCACTCGCTCACACCAACTGTAGCGGAGCTACCACATCTCTAAAGTCAGAGGAAGACTTTACGAAGTAAATCAGAGGCTTACGGCTAACAGCCACGTAGTTCTAAGGAACTAATATATTTGTTAACGGGGTCACACTAGCCATCAACTAAACTGGTTGAAGACCTCCCATAGATAATATGGGGAACAAGTGTGGCCAAAGATTTATTTCAATAGAGAATACCGATTGATCAATTTTCCCAGGTTTACAATACTTACCGTGGAAGTACTTTGTGCCGTCATCATTTGATGACTGAGTGATGTGCCAACCATCGATTTAGAACACATACTAAATTTTTGTATCAGTTCTAGTTTAAAATAATATAGGGTACGTAAAGTCGGATTTTTCCTAGCTATAAAATCTAAGTAAAGTTCAGTTCTCATTTTGAGTAGAAGACCGTAGACTTCCAACCTATCGCCCGTTGAGCTTGACAGTTCCTTAAAACTGTCGTGGGTTAGACAGTCCTTAGACTCCTGTATTTCACTTTGCACATTGTGTGTAATTCCTTAGAGCTACAGTAGTATGAGCTAATAGCTCATAGAGTCCGCGCTAAGTTCCGTAGAACTAGCCGACTCTTTAACTTGATTTGTTAGCTCCTTAGAACTAATTGGCTGTTAGCCGTGAGCATCTGGCTTTACCCATAAAGACTTCCTCTGACTTTAGAGCTGTGGTAGATCCACTCCACTTGGTAGCACTGGTAGTCAATCCTACGCCTAAGTCGTTTTCGACTGATCCTCTGTAAGAAACGGAGAGTCTTGACTACCTCTCCGAGGCCCAACGTCTCGCGCTCGGTAAGCTTAGAGCGTAGATCAGGGCGAGCAGGTCGACCACATTGTAGCCCAATGTAATGGATAAGCCCGTTACATGATATTGACACCAAACGGTGTCAATAGAGATATTGTCTAGCATGACAATATCCTGCCAATATTATCCGAGATGGATAATATTGAAGGAACATTACCCCCTTTTAGGATAATATTCATGCGCTGCTCCAAGATTGGTTGATCAAAGACAAATCAACCATAGATTACCACCAATCGCTGCTAGACGCACGCAATGAGTGGTGAGCAGGTTGCCGTCATGCGACGACGTAGTTGAATTTAGTTAGATAAAGATTAAGTTATATTGATAGCTAAGGGTAAAAAGAGAACTGTCTTTAATATAGATTAACTATATTAAATACAGTTCTCTGTTTACCCTTTACTCCGCTTAGTCGTTGAGTAGATTAGCTTCCTCTGCACGTACTAGTGTACGTGAAGTCTCGCGGCATCCCAAACAAAGGGTGCCCCGTTAAAAGATTAATATGGTTGAATAAAGACTGAATTTGTATCGATAGCTTAGCTCAATTAAATCAAGTTCTCTTTTTACCTTTACTCAAACTGCTAGTTTGAGTAGATCAGCTTCCTCCACACGTACGAATGTACGTGACGTTTCGTGGCACCCCAATTAAAGGGTGCCCGTCACATTTGGCATGTGAGTCTGGGCGGGTAGAGGCCGCCAGAAACGGTACTTCTATCCTACATAAGTCACTCCGATCCAGTCACGGCAAAATATTAATAATTGTGCGAATTGATGCATCGACGAATGTCAAGCAGATGCAAGTTTTTTAGTTCGACCCATTCTTCGGGTGCCATGCTGTGACCACGTCACCTGAAAGCCTTGTGTTGCGTTACAAATTAATACGCTGATTCTGGCTCATTATCGCGGTCTGGACTGGCCAGCAGAGTGCATAAAGGAGTCGGTAGAGATAGAGTTTATAGAAATTAACTAGCCTTGTTCGGAAAGTGTCTGACGATCAAGACCACCATTCTGTAAAATGGTGAGTACGTCGTGTTAAAATAGGGAGCGAGTAGAATGCTGCGACCCCGCAAGTACATCAACTCGACGTACGCGAGCATACGACGGGCTACTGTAGCTTACACTTTAACCGATGGAGTTGATTGTGTTGTAAGTGCATGATGCACTGGATTCGACTCCAGAGATTCGACCCATGCTAGGGTATGTCTAGAATGTTCTTTAGGGTTCTATGCATTATTATAGGTCGTACGGCAGCTAGACGTATGGATAGTTCTCACTTGTAGATTGACAAACCACTGATGAGGCCCCCGGCGGGGGGCCGAAACGCGTCTGGTGCGCGGTAATATACAAGTCATTTACTTTACTTAACTCCTACTTCTTACAGATTGATATTCACGCAAGTCAGACATGACGTGGTTCGCCTCAGCAAGTGGTGTGGTCCCCTCCACCCCGATATTTGAATCATGTGTCATATATTTCCTGTGTGGTACCGCTTTGATATCTTAGATAGCGTGTCCATCCACACTTAATGTCGGAAAACAATCCGCTGATTACGAGCTCGATCGCACAGTTCTTCAGTTTTCTTCAAGCGCACGTAGCAACTATACGGCGCATGGCCATGGCATCCTGGCAGAGTCTTTTTTCTATGCTTCTCATGTCAGCAGACGTGTCCGACTGCTGCCTGATTGTCAGGATTGTAAGATTCTCCCGATTGTGTCCGCGCTATTCATTGTCGAGAAGCAGCTGACTCGGGTGACGAACGACCGTTTGTAATCTGTTTCGAGTCAAACGAGCCAACGCATGCGGAGACTCTAGCTCTTCTACCTGAAGCGTATTATCCGATCAGTTTGGAAAATAGAAATCGCCGGATTTTTCGACCTTGCATTGATACGCAAAAGTTCGTAGGCAATTTGACGCCTGAGTACAATATCATACGACGGGGGAGAATCGGGTGAGTCCAAGGAATCACGCCAGCGGTGCTCCAGGACTACACATAGTCAGACGCCACTTCGATCTCTCGAGCACGCATGTCGTGTTTGGACGAGTCCGTGCCGTAAACGCAGTAAAGCAGCGGATATCCGGTCCTATTGACAACTATGTTTGGAATGACCAGTTTATGATGCTACCACGGCGAGGTGAAACAATTTCTTCCTTGTAACAACTGCACGAACAATCGAGACATGGCCTTCAAAATTTTAAGGAAGCGGTGCTCGATGAGGCGATTGTCTTGTGATGGAGTAGTGCAGTTTGCGCAAGCAATTTCTCAGCATTCGAAGCGACAACATATAGTAGCGGCGGTGAACCAAAGACTTTGCACCACCGTGGAATTTCTTACACGTGGAGTTGACAAGGACAATACCCGTCCAGAAGAAAATAGTCTCTGATTGGCGTCAGCGATACCGGTAGAACTTAAATTGTTCTGAACGTAAAGACAAAAGACACGATCACAAGACAACGAACCACGGAAAGGGTGAACTCATCATGATATTATGATTGTAAATCTGTTATGACTTCACGCATACGTAAAACATGATCACATTCTGCTTGCCTGTTTTACCTTGCTTTGCTAGTTTAGAACTGCCTAATGCAGAAGTTATTCGTCATCGTCAACTAAAAGTCGTTGTTGTCTTGCGCCCGCCGCTTCGAATCCTAAAGTACAATTCTTCCCAGTATCTGCGTTTGTTTATACTTCAATGGACGTTTGGAACGTTGAGAGTTTGCGACGCTCATGTGTATTTGTAAAATACACAATTTGGCGCTGGCAGCAAGCACACAAGGTCAGATTCGGCAACAACTTCACCATCGGCTGCACGATCCATAACATTATGCTTGGCACAGCAGTATCAGTTTATGTTGCCATCTAAACTACTCTTCAGGTCACTTTCGTCAACGACGACTGAGATGCTATATGCTGGTAATGATAAGCGTACTCTCATACTGGCTGATTCGAGCGCAAAAGGTAGATGCAGGAGTCAGTTTCGAGCCAACATAGACCACTCTCTACAGGGTGGGATGTATCTACCAGGATACAATCGAAACTTAGTGTGGATCGTTAGGGCAGACACGACAGATGACATCAGGAAGCGGAAGTTTCGTGCGCTTGATGGCTGTGAAAAGTCTCCACGAGATAGTGCAGCATAAGTATCTACACACTGACTCTTTTGGCACTTACATCATCCATCAAACAGATCAAGTGTCATATGGTGAAGGCTTCAGAATCACCGCGACTCTCGTTTTTGATCAACTGTCTGTCAATCTACCACACCTTCAACAGGATACACTGTGCCATGTTTATTTGAAACGTGCAATGTAGCCCACAACAGTCGTGCCATCCCCACATCCACAAAAGTTGCTTCGACCTCAATGCATTTCGATGTGTTGCTTGGCATGTAACAACTTATTTCGGACGCGCTCCATGCTCTCATGTGAATTTTATTCATTCGGCACCGGTCAGACCTTGGCAAATCTGAGCAATAGCAAACACGGTGGACTTGGTATGATCGAGCGTACCGGACCCAGTGACTAGTATTTGCCTTAACTTGTGACTAGCTCTGATGGACATTTATGTTGTGTGTTCGATGGTGGATGACCCTTCATCTACGCTTTGGGTGCAGGATATGTCTACACCTAGACGAGCAGCGGAATCTGGTAATGGGACTCGAGGGAATAAAACAAAACTGCTTGGTCGTGACGTGACGCAACCCGTAATCGCTTAGGACCAAATGGTTCAGGCAATACTCCAAATAGAGTCTCATTGCTTGAAATGTCTATTATCTTTCTGAGAAAGCTTGTAAATTCCTGCGCCAAGACTGAAGGCTCCTTGCGGGACGATCGCGCTTTATGCAGCCTCCCACTTCATGTAGAATCGAGCGAGTTCTTACCGCGTTTGTGCTCAATAAGAAAGGTCATCCTGGACGGCTATCCACAGATTCTTTGTCCAAATCCACAAACGAACCATGCATCTCAAAACACCAAATTTTGCATCTCCTTGCGCCTGTCGCTCGTGACGTTTGTGCCGTCATCTTCCTTCTGGAATCAATTGGTGGCGTTAGTTGGCAGCATTTGCGCCTCAATCTATTCGGGTTTGTGCGACACGGTTGCTGGGCGACAGAATAGATTTGCAACAATCAAAAGGACGAAGTATACAAGTGCCTGGTCAAGGTTCATAACTTCTGTGCAAGCCTCTTACAGCCTGGTCTACAGCATGTCTAACACACTGAGCTTTACTCACACGCTAGGAATTGGCAATGGAAGCCTATGCATGCAATCCTGATTCTACAACAACCCGAGTGTACATACGCGACCGAGTGGCAACTTGGACAATGCAGTGAGCAGCACAGCTATCTTCAAATTGTAAGCACCACAGTGAATGAGACTAAAGCCTTTCTGCTCAGTGGGTGCTTATTTGAGTTGCTGACGATCCTTGGCGTCGTCCCGGTCGAGTCAATCAGTTCAGGACGTCTCCACCTCGTTGGGTTTCAGATGGTAGCCGCCCTTTCTTGTGAAATTAAACTGTGGCACACTTACGACGAATCTTAATGGCATGGTAACCCTCAGTAATACTATCACCATTCATCGGTCGCTTGGACAAGCCTGAAGGCCACTCATACATCACGCTGTCTGCATGTGCTGATGACTTTCCTCCCTCGTTCGTTGTACACATGTGATCGTACCACTGGAGGCGATTGTATGTGCAGTCTTGATAGCTCAGCACTTGCTGGAAATGGGTCGTCAATCAGAAACGTTGATTACGCTTGTCCATTTTGCAAAGGCACCAGGAATTCCTTTTCGACTGTGAGTATATAGTCGTGGGCAACGTGTCCTACCCTAGCTTCTCATAAGGTCGGTGAATCACATGCCAATCTTACAAGGCCAAAAAGACGCATCATTGCATGTCATGTCGTGTGATCGTATTGTAGAAGTCGTTAAGGAAGAGCTGAGCTTGGGTATCCGTTAAAATTCAATGACCACATGGAGCCACACGATGAACAGATCGACTGCTTCAAAAGCGTTTACTTGCAAGCTGCAATGGACATGAGTGATAGTATTACATTGTGCTAGCATTGTCTTGGTAGCCATACCCTTTCCAGACTAAACATTACGCTTCATTATCATACCCTTGGAACAATTGTATCTACACCAACGATGGCTTTCTCGCCACGTGACTTGTCATATGTATTCGTTCACCACCGTCGCTTCAGCTGCTGCTGCTGCTGTTGCTTGCCGTGTTTAATGCAGAAGCCACCACTTCGAGCCGCATGAGTGCAGCCTCCCGTCCCACACCGCTTCCCACCTCCGTGCGAGTAGCAGATACCTCCAGATTGGGCACTCTTCGAGCAATTGGCCACAGCACATCGACGACCTCCACCGTGGGAGATGCAGAACCCACCGCGGTGTGCACACTTCTGGCATCCAGTCATTTTGCAAAAGTGACGCCCACCATGTTCCATACAAAGCCCTTTGCGCCTCGCGTCTTTGTTGCACCCATCGCGACGGCATCTGGTGATCGATCTGTAGCTGCCAATGCTGCCAGTAGACAGTGTGGGGCTTGCAACACCAACCCGAGGTCTCTTGGTCAACGGGCCCGAGAGGAAGTTCGTGCGATCGTTAAAGATCGAAGACCGCTTGTTGATATGCAAAGCTGGGGTAGTAGTGTACATGGGGTCGTTGTAGCTCGGGTATCCTGAAAGGCAGAGGGACGGACGGACTCCTGTTGCTTGCGTCTGGGTGGGCACGACCGTTTGCAATGCCGGCAAATACGGTAGCGGGGTGACCGTGGACGGGAGCCCAAGACCCGGAAGCGGTGGATTCGTGCCGGTTGGCACGAAAGCGGTCTGACTTGAATGAGGGGCTGGTTGGCCGTGGATATGGTCGTGGCAGTATCCCTGCATTTTGCTGAAGTTGGCACAGCCCTGGAAGCTGCAATACTCCAGCTTCAACGGGTTCATGAGGTTGTTTGTCCGCATGACTGGGAACCGAGCGGTTGTCGTCGTGTTGGCTGGACTGATGTTGCCAAGCGATGGTAAACACGGAGAAGTTGCAATGGCCGACGAGATGTTTGACAGGATGATGGCGGGGCTGCAACTGCTCCGTTGCTGACGCTTCAGGTCATTCGACTGCCCCATCAGTACGATGTTCTTTGAAGCCTGCTTCATCGTCCACTGGTGAGGAGTCATGGGAGCTGTTAACATGTGCTGAATGAATGAAGTGATCGACAACGAATCGGTACTCGGGTCAAAGTGCAGCTTCAACTTGCCCAACCCTGTTAGCTTGAGCGTTCCAGCTCAAATTTGCAAATGACAGTTTGCTGGGCAGCTCGCTGGACGTGGAGTCAATCGAGCGAGTTACGTCGGCCGCCACCCGCAAGGTTTTTTACGATCCCTACTGCAGATTCGTCACAGCGCTTTCGATCCGGGGATTTGGTAGGGCTCGGCGCAGATATTTCTTCCTGCTTTTCTGCCCTCAGCTGTTTTCTGCCAGAGATTGTCACGCACATAAGCTGCAGTGGCACTTTGGCTGCTGCTGCACTCGGGCCAGTCCGAAAAGTCACACACACGACTTTGTCAGACTTGCAAGAAGAAAACAGCACCCTTCGAGCTTCGCAATCGCTGATTTATACAGCGTGGCCAAGGAGCCATTCCTGGTCGTAACGGCGCTCGACCACAACATTGGCGCTGGAGTGCCATGAGTCGATGAAAAGTATCAGCACCTTCTGTTTCGCCATGTGCGCAACGCTGCAGGGGTAACTGTCGGTGATTTAAATCCAAAGATTGCGCCGCGCCTGACGTTTGTATGGTGTGGGCAGCAGCATGATCACCGGAACGACTTAACCGTCACGTTCATCACCGCCACGTGCAACACGACCGTTGCTTCGAACAGTTCATATAGAGTACCGATATTGCTAACATCTCTTACGCAGCGCAAGCTTTGAAGACTTCACGACGATCTTGTCGTTATTTAACAAGGTTCTTTGCACGCAGAGAAATTGAAAAAGCCGTGAAGCACGCAAAAAACAGGTCTGTTTTCGTTGTACGATCTAGCACTTCAGCTGCGATAGCCTATCCAGCGAGGCCATACGTGGCCAAGCCTACAGCCCAAGCCTATCGCAGCTATGACACCGTATAGATTGACCGTCGCTGTTCAAATTGCTGGCTGGTCAAGAACCCCACGAAGGCAGACGGGGTGGCATCAGCCTTAAGCGATGGGCACTACCGAAGAACAACAAGCCGTAAATGAAGTCTTGAGCGGCTTCGCGTCACGGGACACAGTGCTGTCACAGGGCCTCGTAGGGACCAGGCAGCACCTTTTTGGTACGTCATGTACCGCTCATTCCATTTACTAGTTTGCAGGAGCATGAAAAAAGCTACTACAACGTTGTGCTGCCGTTGCCGCTTCCTGCTCGTAAGATACAAGCGACATTTGACACGAACGACAACGCATGCGGTGCAGCGTCCAGACCCATCCACCACTTGCCATACAATGCGCGTTGCTAAGCTTTGTTTACTGTCTTTTGCCACAATTGTGCCGTCTGCAGACCACGGTTGTCCACGCTAAAAACAGACCATGCGGCGGTCTGAAACTGATTCAGAGTCAAACAATCCCATTCTGAAGTGACGAGACTAGCAACGAGCCTCGAAACCGACCGCATGAATTCGTTCAGAGCGTGAGCTGTCCACGAGATCGTCAAGAGCGCAGAGTCCTCGCTTGTTCAGCAGAAGTTGTATGAGATACCTCGCGGCAACCATTACAACTCATGCACTGCTAAGCGATGTACTGACATCGAATATTTACATGGAAACACTCACCTACTTAGCTGGAGCCACCGAGAACGTGAGAGGGGTTTGTATTTCGGTGCACCAACACTGTGCCTCAACTCGGTGTAGCTAATGGCGACACATTGGCGTAATCTAAAGCTTTTTGAGTCTAAGTATCCCGCGGGACCTCAATTCCCAATCGACGGTCAGCTGCAACCATGGACAGAGACGAGAACTTCCGGGGAGCCAGGGAACTGGTCCTCTTGCCTTGAGCGGAAAGTCCCCCAATGTGGGGCAATGTAAAAGGGGGGAGGATTCCTCCTCGCTGCGTGTGCTACGGGAGACAGCGCCGCATGCGGCTCGAAGACAAGAGGTCTGCAGGATATCCTAGTGCAGGGCACGTCGATGATGGACCGAATCACCCTGCAAAACGAAGAACTTTCTACTCTTCGCGGTCTGTCTACAGGTCACCGACACGTTCGCTGAGCATGAGCCCAATCCCGCGAAGAGAACTCCCTAAGACCGGGACGATCCCCGCTGAGATCTAGTACTGGTTGTTTCTGTCAAGTAGCACCGAGCCAGATACTCTTCGTCCAGTGGTGCGTCTGGGCACATCTGAGCACGTTGGGAGCCCGAGTCGACCTGAAGTGCAAGAAATGGACTACGAGGTGATGGCCAGGGATGACGTTAAGATGACTCGCTGGACTACCGAAGTGGTGACAGGACTCGTAGTTAAGCGTCCTCTGTCCCCTGAATTAAATTGCCCTGAGCGCGAGAGTAGCCCCGTCATCCGGTAAAGTGCACACAGTAATCGAACCCCGGGCTTGGTCGACGGACGGTTTCCACGGGCCCTTTTGGGAGTGCCCCGCCGTGACGCCCGACGTCTTGAGCCAGCAGAATAAGAAAGCTAGGAGTAGTACAGACTGTGTCATGGGAGATGATACGACGTGGTTACCACACAACCAGACGTCTTAGTAGTGATAAGTAGCTGCAATAGACAGTCTGAGTCTCTCAAAGTATCCCGCGGGACCTGGTCGTCATCGTCTCACCCTCTTCACAATCACTATCCGTGCACAATGTGTCGCACCAACGACAGTGTCATGCTGCGCCACTCCCGATAGAAGAGCGCAAGGTTCCCTAACGCTTTGCTTTCGCCTTGTCACATGAAATTCAAACCCTACGAGCCTGGTCAATTTGTAGCTGACAGAGCCAACAATCGGCGACACGGAGAAGCTACCTTCCCAGCTGGCGAGCTCCTCGACCGCTTCATTCAGCGCGATAGTCTCATCGTCAGATGCGGCACCCACAGCTGTTTGTTAGCTACCGGAGATGTGCGGCTCCTCTACCTCGGCATTGAGTCTGCGTGTCGACCATCGTGCTCGCTATCTTCTTTTACGCAGTCTTAGTCAGTCCTTTTCGCTTCTAGGGAGAGACCTTGAACCCATGAACCTGAGCATGGATAGGCATTCTCGAAATCAGCTGCAGCGAAACCTACGACAGCACCGATCCTTCTTTCGCGGGGCCATCTTGACTATCCATGGCGATGCACACGTGGTGTGTGTGTGTGAGTGTCGATCGGCGAGATGATTTGTAGGCTTTTTCGCTGCCTTCAGCTTGGAAAGGCGGATGATGGCCGTCGCGGCCATCCAGAAGTTAGAAACGCGACCCGTGTCAACACCCCGATGTCGTCTTGACGTCCGTCGTCTCTTACATTCGCTACGCCCCCATTAACACGATAGCACGTCGAAAATTCGAGTGAATAGCAATAGCTTCTGTTGGCCGTGGTGCCTCGACCAAGGACGTTGTGCGTCCATGACAACTAAGACACTCTTATAACAAAGGGTACAGTGGCAACGCTATAAAGGGCGCTCACGCTATGCTTCCAACCTGACAAGGTATCGAAAGCGGTGATGCTAAACATCGGACACTGAAAGCATTTGACGACACGACTTGCCACTTCCATTTAACTTCGGATAAATTACGACCATGCAACGTGAAAACAGAAATTCTAGCCAAGTGTAAAGACTTGGTATCGAAAAACGCCGGTAGAACCAGTCCAACTTGGCGGCGTGTAATAGTGATTGCGAGCCCGATGGGTGAAGCTGTTAGCGACTGTGCGCAAGGTCGAATGCTGCCTTTCTAAATCGTACTTATCTATGTGTGTGTCTGTCTGTCAATAAATAACGTGGCGAAGTGTCCCTCACACGTACTAAGTACGATCTAGCATGTCCCCCCTCATTGGTATATCGGCACATCCGAAGTCACTCTTTGGGCTGGTCACTATTGTGACACACGCCCGTGATTGGCTTAGAATCGATTTAAGGTGAATATGATCACACAAGCAAGCAAAGGCTGATCGCGTTGCTTGAGTATGGCACTGCAGAATTAAATTCGTTTAGACATTTGAGAGCATCAGACTCATTCTTCAACGACTGCTGTTGAATAGTATTTTACATCTAAATTCAGTTCTCCAAATTGGATTACTTGTATCAAAGGGCGAGCTCTAGAGTGCGCTCCCCTATCTTACCCCAAAGGTACATCCACACATCAGGTGGCTACTTCTTTTTCGCGACCTTGTTGTTGTCGCTACCTCACTGCGTCTTTATTGATCTATGCGTTACTTCACTAATTCTAATTCTTAAGGCATTGTTTTCGTCAACTTTCTTTGCAAAGGGCACACAATTTAACCATTATGCACTTAAACAGTTTTATCCTTCGTACAAGCGCTGCGTGTTCTTCCAGCTTGTCAGCTACAAAAACCCATGAGCTCCTCCTCGGAAGAAATACTCACGAGCGTGCTAGTGCTGCAACTCGAGGCGATCAAAGCGCTCGTGACTGAGTACCACCAACAAACAGAAGCCTACGTACAGCAGTTCGGTCATATGCCTCTATCGAACGAGCCCATATACGCGGCTCATGACGCGCGCATTGCGCTGCGCTCGTTACCGTCTCTAGCCGAAGGGTGCGTGGTCTCCGAGGTGATACTTGCGGCCACGAAGAGCCATTGTGGTCAAAACATGTGTGCCACCTCAACGACCGACCTCGAAGAGTTTCTAGCTAGTGCTAGAAAAAACGTCAAAACCGTCGACGACCGTGTGCACGCGCTCTTTGTGCTCGATGCGAGTCTCTCGCATGCGCAACTAAAGAAGGAGATGCAGGCTACATTTGAGGGTAAGCAGGGGTACGCCTTGCTCGTCGAGTGGCTCGCACTAAGCTGTAGCTACAAGGACGAGACGTCGAAAGCGTTCACGGAGTTATTGCTGCTCGTGCTGAAGAACAAGATGCCAGCTATGTCGTTCACGATTAAGACCGTGATCAAGAACTTGATGCGGTACAAAAAGGTTATGAAGGGAAAGACCAACAAGGGGCTATTGCAAGATGTGGTGGACGAGTACCGCAAGAAGATTAAGCTTTAGCTTACTTTCACCCAGAGTCTTTTTACCTTGACCACCACCATCTTTATTAGCATACCAACTCAAGCGAAGCAAGCGTTTTGCTGGAATTTTGTACGCAGTTAAGTTTCGAATGTCGGTATTAATGGGTTGTCGATAGGCGGCGGCTTGCAACAAAGAGCTGCGTTTTTACATGTCCGACGACTGTATTACGACGACCGTATTCCAACGGGGTCTGCATACCAGAAGTCATTGTCGTAGCTCACTTGCATCAACGCCAAATGACGATGTTTTTTTGTCGACATGCAAAATGCGTGACACAGTGAAAAGGATCGCCGCATGTTAATGCTGAACGCTACACAAAAGTAAGGTGTTTCGATTTGTTAGCTTCTCATCGATGCGTGTGAACACCTCTATATGAGTGACAAGGGAAACCACGATTTTGTGTTGCAATCGTTGCGTTAAGCACTCGGACATGGAAAGTTCTCAGAGGTAAAGAAAAAATGCACGTGCCTTGGCTAATACAAGTCGGTACGTCAGCTTGAGAAACGCGTTGTCGTGATGACAATATCTGGAGAAATAGGTTGATGATGTCTTCTGGAGTACGGATACTGCAAAGTGAATCTATGTCGTTCGCAGCACCAGGGTAAATTCAGCCATGCACTGTTGTCGATGTAAGTCACACGCACGTATCTTCCTTGTCGGTCAAATAGACAGTTTACAGGAGTAAGAATGCCAGCGCCAAATAAGATAGCTGCTCCATGGAAGCGATGACGATTTTGTACTGTGTGCTTTCACTGATCTTTCGGGGTATAGAACGCTAGCAATCATGGCGACTATCTGTCAACAGAGATGAATGGCATGACTAGCGCCGAAACATTTGTGCGCAACCACTTATCAGCAGACCTTTAGCAGAGTCGGAGACGTTGACCAATACCATCTTATTTTCGGCGCCTATCTAAGGTATGCATCCAAGTCGAGCCCAAACAGTGGTAAGTGTACTATCTCCACCTGAGCTTGAAAAAGAGGATAATTCAACAGCGTTCCAAAGCTGAAGAACGAAAAACGACTGATTGCGCACCGGCTTATGGAAATGACGCCCTGCGAAATATAGAGCTGTTTCGAGGTGACACACTCCAATACGAAGGTGCAAAAAGCACGATCGACAAGGCCGCTACAGACTGTAATGTTCAGCTTGGAAGCTGCTCGCGAAAACATTGCTATGGTGGAAAGGGTGCGTCATAAGTACAATTCAGCGGTTGGAAGCAGCATTTCTTCTAGAGAACTGAGTTTGAAAAAGGTTCCTCTACCGTGGTCATTTTGCTTGAAAAGGAGAGCTTGGTGGATGCAATGAGATTTGGTCTGCTTGTCGGTAAATATTCCGGTCAAGATCGTACGTGATTGCACCGACAATCAGTCCGCAGAAATCAAAAGGGTGCTCAAACTTTTGCATCCCGATGTTTCGAATTTGCATTCCGATGTTTTGAATGCAGGCAGTAAGACCCTGCACCGTAGAAATCTATTTATTCTGTTCGGCGTTAAAGTAAGCTGAGCTGCACCAATGCTGAGTTTCCGCGGCAGTTAGTTTGTAGCTGCTTTTCAAAAAGTGCCATGTACAGGAAACACGTCGTGGAGAAGGATGATCGTGGCTTGTCGATCCAGGTTCTGTTTACCACTTCAAGAAGAGTCACTGCTGACAGCATATACGTCATGTGTCGTCGTATTTGAGACGTCGTGCGAAGTTGTGTTTTTTTAAGAAGCACGGAGGCCAAAAAAGGTATGACGCCAAACTTGTACCAGTACGGGAAAACGACTGACAAGCAGTTGCCTTCGTGTGCCAATCAAACCCAAAAAATTGTGCACAATCGCTGGCTGCTCCAAAGGTGCCGTTCCGTTATGATCGCTTTAAATGACTCCTACTTTCATTCAGCGATGAAACGATGAGCAAAGATTGTTGCATCGAAGGAGCCCAGCTGTGGGTGACCGATATACCAAACGTCCACCGTCTGTATCGACAGTACCATTTCTTCAAGATCACTCAGATATTGCTACGCCACTCACGAATACCTCCCGTTTCTCACCTCTATTTCTATTCAACCAAGTAACTGCTTCTTTACGCCAACCTTCATGGTCAGTGAAAGTGCGGCTTGTAGGCTGTAGGTCGACCAGTTGCCAATCGAGGAAAGCGATGACCGCATTTTATCTACTTTCTCGAACAGTTCAGTCCACTTTCTTCCGGCTCGTCGAACAAGTTCCTTTCGGCACCACCGTCCACTTTAACTGGGGTGTCAGTTTTGCTTGATCCGATGCGTGCTTGGCTCCAGTCAGGAACCACACCACTGTATCCGTAGTCAAAAAACAACTCGTCTCCAGCTGCAATATCTTCTTTCGCATAAATTCCGATGCGGTGGTCCCCATTGACAAACATGATCCGGGCAAAACACTTTGGCTTCATCGAATCGTGGTTGGCGAATTTACTTTTGTTACCCTTGCGCGTAGCATCCACGACAGAATCTTCCGTCAGGTCAAATAGGAAACTGATCGTCGTTTTATCGTATACGTTGCCACGCCGTTCTGCTTCATCTTGGGACAACAACGATCCGGTGTACTCGTAAATAAACTCACCCTTCTCCACATCCTCCAAGGCGTATGCTCCCCATCCATGTGTCTCCGAAGCAGAAATTCCAATCTTACGCATCTTGCCGCGCAGTATATTTACGTTCCCACAAACCCTAAGCTGTGACACGGACTTGTCTTTACTTTCTTCGTCAAATACGACAACCGGAAGCTCGCTAGCTCCGCACGAAATACAAACATCAGGATCACACTCCCTTGCAGCAAAATAGCATGGACAGTCGAAAGTTCGACACTGACCCACTTCGCAATGACATCCGGGGAAACGATTGGAGCAATCTGGAGAACACCCACATGACTTTTCACAGAAGTGGTCACGACGCATGCAGGAACATTGTGCAGAGTCACAAGAGCCGCCATCATGATTGCAAGGAACATACTCGTGATTTGCACCAAGGTCTTTCATTCGCTGGGAACGCGTGCGACGAAGGTGCTCGTAATTGTTGCCAAAGGCTCCATTACTCCTTTCTCGGTTTCGCACACAGACGTCATTTTGCATTACACCAAGTTCGTCAAGACTATTTGGCGCCCCGCGACTACGGTTTTGGATAAATTGAGCAACATCGGTGCAGCTTCGTGAGCCAAGCAACGCTGCTAAAGCACATGGGTGTAGACCAATACATTTCTCTAGCTTCTTCAGTAACGCAATTTCAGAATCTTTCCACAGCGTTTCTTGTACTATGCCACGAAAGCCACGGCCTTCCTCATATTGATCAGGATCTGATGCAGGCTTTGAGCAATAAGGTCCGCAGCAGTACTCGGTAGATAGCAATTCCAGCTTCCTATCCTGCGTGATCGCTTGGTAAGTGCCATCGAATCCTAAATACTCTGATACATCTGTAGTCTTGCAACGCACCATCTTTTTTGCGTAAACGCGAGCTGCATTCAGCTCTGATGACGCCTTTGTACTAGCAGACGTTCGAGCACGCACTGATCTTTGCGAAAAATCACCTCGGACAGCATCTGCTGTATTACATGTTACATCGCTTCCTGCTTTAACAATCAAATCAACCTGTGGCGCTGGCTCGGAAACTGGTTCCTCAGACACAAAAATTTCTTCATCATCCATTTCTACATCAAAGATTTCTGCTGATCGCAGCTGCTCTTCTTCAACGCGTCGCCAAAGTTTTGACGTAGCTTTCACCATCGGATAACGGGGGTCAACGCGCACGACTGGAAGAGGCTGTCCACGACCATGGTTTCGGCAGTTGTACACACAGCAGCGGCGGCAGAACAACTCTCGGTACTTTATGGCCAATTCCCAATATTGCTGGGATGGAGCTCTCCGTATACCTCGGTCTTCAGCAGGCTGCAAACACTTTAAGATCAAATGTGCCGGCACTGCCTGTAATGCGTGACACGCGTCCAGAATAACGACAATCGCACGCTTCTTGTGACGAGAAATGTCCCCGCTGTTAAGACGCGCTTCCAATTCGTGCAAATGCCGCTTCCACAATTGATCTCGCATCCCACGGGCAACAATGTCAGAGTAGTTTGCAAATGGTTGCGAAAAGAAACCAGTTTGTCTAAGCGCCTCAAAAACGCTCTGGTCGCTCCCACAAGTGCTCACAGCATACCGTAAGACAAACTCCTTCACCTCGTCATCCATGCCCACAAGCGTATCCTTGCGATGCTCAAAAGTACTAATATAACGCTCTCTAGCTTTGTTGTCGGTACCTTCATCAATAAAGTGGGGCACAAACCGAATGATCGGATCATCCTCGACTCGGTGCGTCCCGCGCACAAACACACAAGCTGTCGAGCGTGGAGCTGGCGCCATTTTGCTGAGATACGTCACTGTTGTAGGGTGCACGGCCACCGAGTAACCAGACTCACTTCGTCCCACCGAGTAGCTTGGCCTTTCCTCACCGTCCGGCAAACGCCCATCAGTCCAAAGCAGCGCTCGTGCAGCAACCTTTTCCAGCCTCGAGATTTCAAGCGAACGTCCTATCGTTAGATACAGCAGATACACACAAACCTTAATCAGTTCAAATTGTTCAAGTTTTTCACGCTCCTCTTCCGTTTCGACGCCTCACCGACAATCGACGCCCTTATCTTGGCACATACCACCGGTCGATCTTCCAAGTACGCTGCAATCTGCTTTCGTGTATGACCAACAATCGCCTTCACCCTTGCAGCATGACTTGCTTTAGCCAATAAAGTCGCCTCGACAACAGCCTTACGCACTCGGTCATCCATCTGCACGCAATCACGAGCCTGTACAAAGCACAAAACCAGTCGAACAGTCAACGTCATCTCCTTCTCTTCGCTCCAACGGCTTCCCCGCTCGCTCTACCTCACCTCTGCCAACGTCCCTGACATCACAGTCAACGGTTTAGGCTGCAAAAAGTCTGTCGACAAGCGACACGTGCTCTTCAAAACCTCATCAAACTCGTCCAGTGCAACATCCATCTCCCAAGCAAACGGCCGCAACACACCGTCTCGATCCGGCAAGACATTTACCGGCGCAATCTCCACCTTCACATTGCGCCATGCAGTCGAGTGTAGCGTCACGTCCGCGAGCACGTGTTTATTGCCGGAAGTGACCTCGCGCTGACGTAAAGGAAGGTCGTCTTGATCGTCAGCACACTGGACTCCCTTCTTACCTCGCTCGAGTGACATCGGCAGCACCGCGTCACTCAACTGCGCACTCATGGTGTGGCGCAGCTTCTGCCGCGCCGACCGCCGCTCCTCAGCGCGCTTCTGCTTCGACCGCTTGGCGGGGGATCCACTCGTCTCGCCTTTCCGCAGCTGCGCGCAGCACGTGAGTTGATGGTACCGACTTTTTTCGTAATTAAGCCGCTCCATCTCGCGTTCTTGCGCCATGACGTCGGCAAACAGCACGCGGTCTTTCGTCTTGCGGTGCGTGCGACGTGGCTCGACGTCAAAGGACTCGCGGCGGCGCTTGTGGCGCTCGAGGACGCTCTCGTCCGTCACGTCAATCACCTCGGCGTCCTCCATCGCGTCCGTTTGGGTGGTGATCGACTTTGGATTCGTTTTGACAGGGAGTGGACCGAGGGGATGGATGTCATGAACCCCGTCATCGTGGCTACACATGGAAATATTCACTTTCACAGAGCGAGCGAGACAAAAGTACTGCCTTGCTGGCGTCTGCCCTCTGATACTTAATGACAAAAGCGGAGTATCGTAACACGACACGATTTGACACGACATGGCACTACTGCAAGACCTGTTCCGTCACGGTCGTGGGGTCTCTTGGACCGATACTGCTGCCGTGCGCAGCTCCAGGCGCTGGCTTAGTGTGCAGCGGCATCTGCAGTCGGCACTACGTCTAGACTCGGGTGGTTGCGGACTGCCGCACCCGCAGAAGCGCGCTACGGGCGGAGAAGATGCCTGGTTTATCAGCACTAATATTGTAGGCGTCGCTGACGGCGTTGGCGGCTGGGCGCGTAAAGTACGAAAGTATTGCAATACAAAGTTGGACAAGACTGCAGCTTATTTGTGGCGGGGTGGGTGGGCATTTTCGGTGATACCATCTGTTTCTATTTCTGAACGAGGAATAGGGTATCGACTCGGGCGAGTATTCGCGGACACTAATGGAGTCGGCCAAGCAGATGGTGGCGATGGCCGATACAATGCCAACGCCGTTGCAAGTGCTAACAGAGGCACATCACAGTGCACAGGTTCGACGCTGTAGTATCAGATGTAGAAAGCTCGAAGCGGGAATGACTTTTTTGCGTGGTGTGACAGTGTCCGGGCAGCTCGACGGCATGTATAGTGCAGTTGGATGGTGAGGTGCTTTTTGTTGACGTGTTGAGAACGTGAATGCTGGTTTAATGAGTGGCTGGGGCCGTTTTGCAGGCGAGGTGCTGCGAGCAATTAATCTGGGCGACTCGGGCTTTTTGCTCTGTCGGCTACGTCCGGACGACGACGCGCGGGGTGAGTTAAAGTGGCAGATCGTGCACGAGACACTGCACCAGTGTCACTACTTTAACTGCCCGTACCAGCTGGGATATGGGGCGAACGGCGACACGGTGTGTTTTGTTTGCTTTGGCTGATGTGCTCAATGTATTGAAACGGCGTGTCTGACACTTGCTCGTATGTTGTGTTGGAGAAAGCCTGCGATGGGCGAAGTGTACGAGCTAAAGACGGAGGAAGGTGACGTGATAGTACTAGGCACCGACGGACTGTACGTTTGTTCGTCCGTGATTCTATGACCGTAACATGGTACACTGTGACAATGTCTTTCTGTTGTTGTAGCTTTGACAACTTGTATTCAGAGCAAATTGCAAGTCTGTTAGACACGGTACTGTCACCCACGCAGAAGCGTGACCAACACAGCATGGAGAAGGTCGCGTCCTTTGTTGCCCATACGGCACACGAGGCCGCAAAAGATACCAAGACAAAGACGCCGTTTGCCGTGGCTGCGCAGCAGGCTGGCTATGAATATCTTGGTGGGAAAATGGACGACATTACAGTTGTCACGAGTCTTGTGACGTTAGACGGAGCCCAAGAATGAAAGGAGTTTGTAAGTCGACGAGGTCAACAACGGTCAACTTTACACAGCATTTGGCAAGGTTCTTCGGGTGTCGCTTAAACGAAGGCTGGACCCTTTGTGCTGAGCTTTCAGCTGTCGGAAATAACGATACATAGCTTGCGCTAAACTGCAATTTTTGCCGATTTTCTTGCTGCAGTTGGCTGGTGCACTTTAACCTATTCAAAGTAGCTTTGCACGCGCCATAGCGTTGGGTAATCCTAATTGCGGCTGATAAGCCGGTGCCGCAATATCAGCGACACTGCCCAGCATAGGATCTCATGTACTTCTCATTTTTAGGCCACGAAATTGAAACGGTAAACCCTACAACTTTAGGGCCTAGGATCCGACTGCTGGAAACAGAAACTTGCATCAGTATCGCAAAGTATTTTGTTCATATCGACCAAGAACAAAACGCGCATCAGTCTCGAGTTCCGGGTAAGGCAAAAAGTCCGTCGCTGTGTCTAGTTGCATCTGTCGACACAACGTTCATACCTGCACAAAAATTCACTGTTTAGCATGACGTGCAAAAAGTGCTTCACGAAGAGACTACACGTGTTAAGGGGCTACCATATTATGGAGAATACACGCTTGTCACTATTTGTCCGCGAAGAAGTCCTTTGAACTAGTATTGGAAATATGAAGCCTTTACTTATCGCATGATTTATGCTGCAACAACCCGCAAGACTGGTGCCACATAAATGGTGCGGTACGGACTTAACTTCCGATATTGAGTGCCGAGACAAATCGTGCCAGAGAATGCGCTGAATGCGTGGTAAATTTAGGTGTCAATGTCTTGTGGTGTTACAATTTTATGCATGGTGAAGGGCTTTTGATGATATCGTCATTTAATTTATTCTTCGACGATGGTTGAGCTTGGATTTTTAAGGATAAGGCGATGCGATGTCTTGACGGCAAATGTCACAGTAGATTATCACACTAGTAGAAAGTAAGGTAAGGTGTGTAACGCATCATACACAACAGTGGTACTTTGACAAGCTGCCGGACGAGAAACCCGAAGCAACAATATTTGTGTAGTTCTGGATTTGGCTAAATGCATGGAGAGTATCCGGGTACTCAGGATCCCCAAGCTCTACTTGTTTGTTCTATGGTTAAATGTACCCTAATGAGCACGGCTAAGATACTTGAACTAAAGCCGTAGCGTCTATAAGGCTAGGAGAATATCCGCAAGGTGCCCAGACATTTCTACATCGTTATTGTCTGGCCCTTACCTCGGCATCAACGCATAAGAGCTTTTTTGGATCTCTCGAAGCTAAGCGTAGTCTTTAAGAATACCAAATTACTATTTATTCTTGCGCTTAACACTTTCGGTCTTCGTATGATCGCACCTCGGTAACCTTTTGTCCGCCAATACCCGAGGAGAACCTTCGGGAAGTTTCCCTGGATTTTTCGTTTTTAGATGAGTACTATAAGTATATCAAATCGACGAGTAGATTTTTCTAGTCAAAGACGCCAAGTTTTTGAACACTTGACTGATAGACCTTGCTTGGAAACGGCACTCGGAACGCCCCGGAATAGGTCATTGCTGGTCAGCGAGCCTTTTGTAGGTAAGTCTTCATGACTCATATCGGCTCGCCCCTTAGACTATTTCAAGAATACGGAAACGACCCAGAACGTAGAAGGAATCCCCTGTTTTTTTAAACACGTACAACGTGGCTTGCATTACGATAAGCGGAGCCAGATCAAACATGTTCGTACACATTTCATGCCGTCTTTAATCTACGATGTCATGGCTGTATACTATAGACACTTGTACAATAACACAGAAGCTGGTTGCGGGATCATTCGTGGCTAGGATAAGCGAAAGGTAACGCATTGATCCTTGCTGTTTAATGCGATCACTTTTGGCGATTTTCTCGTATAGTACGAATATTGAACGGTGGGCCAACGTGTCCTACACGCTTCCATGCCCCCAGATCTATGAGCACGCTCAACAAAAACATTTATTTACTTAATTTTTATAAAATGTGTTTCGTTCCAAAGCCACTTAAAGAGGGTAAAAGCGTAAGCAAATACTCCTTCTGTCCGGAATGCTTGTGCCTTAACACGAAGAAATCGAGACACTAGGTCACGTTTCACAGACTCATCATACAATACACCTCAACATGAAGCTTATTCTGCGCTCTTACAGCCAGTGATTGTCGCGTATTTTTATCGAAGCCGCGAGCCGAGAAATAAACACTTGTCACCATTTATGTTAAGTTTAGCACCAACGTCGATTGCAAAGTGTCTAAACCACCAACCATCAAATGTGAGGGCTTCTACAACAGCTAAACTAAGGGTAAACCCCGCTTTTTGAGCCCAGACTTCACACCTTCCGTAATGCATCGTTATCGCGGCTTAATGAGACGCATCTTTTAGTTAAAATCACGCTAAGTAGCCCTTATTGTTAGATTATACCTTTAATCGGATATTACCAAATGCGTCATTTTTTAAGAGTATTCGTTATACAATAGCGTACTTCAACCATAAAGTGACTACCAAGTGTGCTGCTCTGTGCCTTACTAAACCACCCACGTGAAATAGTCATTAATCTCGTCATTGGTGACTGAAAGTGTAACAGCTTCACCCTAAATCTCAGCCATTTCTTTCTATCATCTCCACTTTCGTCAATCTTTATGGTATAGCTTTATACTCCCTCCGTTTCAACAAGTTTGTCTCTTTTCATAAATAACAGAATAGCCCTTTCTCGTCATTGAGTAGCAATTCAAATCAGAATAAAGCTTTTTATGCGCTCTTTTGGCTAGTGTTAGTTACGTACTTTTCCAGTAGCCATAAGCCGAGAAATTTAGGCTCAAAGAACCATCATTTGTAATAGTATTGGTGCCGGGATCAATTGAGAAGCATTCAAGCTACCGGTTGTCAAGTATGATAGCTTTAACAGCAGCGTAAAAACGGACGGATACCGCTACCAGATTACAAAATAACATTCAATAGATCGTTACTGCTTCTTATGTATGCATATTTTAGCTTAATCCACACTTATTTACTTCTGTAATTAGTATCACCATATGCACTCTGTGCCTTATATTAGAACATAGTGTAAATAATACGAATGTTATTAAATACAAATAGCTCTCTTTTTGCATTTATACATAATTTTTTGCCAAAACGAATAAAGGCATAAAGCAAAAAATCGCTCGATTGAGACAAAGTCAATGATATGGAGGAAGTACATTTTGTAGATGTAGCTAAAATGTTAATATCACGAAACTTGATAATTTTGTCACTCGTTTCCAAGCCCATAGAAGTCATTTTAGCTATGTTTAATTACGCTTTCGCCGCGGACTACGAGCACATATGTAAGCTCTTGAGATAATCTACCAGCGTGCAGCCAAATTTAAGGGGAGTTTCTTCTCTAACCACGACTGTTGATATATAAAAAGATATGGACAACTCCCCATTACCCGTCCACACCCGTTCCTTCGATTACGGGCCACGGCGCTGGTGCCGTATGGAACCTGAAAAAAATTTGGCCGCTAAAGTAAAAAAATCTCTGATTTACTACACTGGGCCACATGACACGTTACGGCAAGAGCTCATACTACGTTTTTCGACTATTTAACACAAAAACAGAATGCGATCTTCTGATAAGCATACTTAGTTGAAGTACCAATATGCTTAGACACACTCAGGTTTGTTGAATCATATTCAACCTACTCAGTCTTTTGAATTAGTAGTCATTTTCTTAGAATTCAAAATCGATATAAAACTTATAAGTGCAGTAGACGTTTCCCACCTCTATAATATAGATTGTGTCACTTCGTATCTGCAACGATGCTGCTATAAGATTTTATGAATAGCATAAGAAAAAATCTCATTGCCTTTATAATTTTTCTTGCCGAAACGGACAAACAGTTACATAGGTCGGTGTGTTGCGTAGATCTATAAATTGTTGTACGTCCTTGTTTCCATTCCAAGACAATCATTGCCAATATTTTTCCAGCATTGCTTTGCCCTTCACATCCGTTTTAATGCCCCGAATCGATGTGTTGTCATCTTGACAACCGTTGTTTGGCACTCTTACACTATTTTCCAGTGATCAAACCATTGAACAACTAATATCAAGTAATGCCCATGGCCCAAACCAAAATTGGTTTTAAGCAACTATTACAATTATAGCATTATTAGTGCTATTACATTAAACAACAATAAGACAGTCACCTCTATAAACAACTCGTTTGCTGCTGTAAGCTACCAATATTTTTTTATTATGTTCCACAATTTTTAACTTATTTATAATTAAGCTGCCTTTCTCGACAGCAAGCTATAATAAGTAAGATATAAACCTGCTGTCAAAATTTACAGATGAAGGAGCTGAGCTTAACGCTGTCGAAATCGTTCAGCATTCCATAAAAAGGCTTCGTGCATTCGGTATGCAGAACGCGGATAGCAACGAAGAAAATGGTGTCAGTGGTGGTCTTACTATCACGAATGTCGCGTTTAGTTCTCTCTCACCTCCGTACAGAGGTAAAAAACAAAATGGAAATTATCAAAATGTTGCAGATTTTTTTTTGATGGAGAGAAGAAGATAATGGCGCTTCTTCTATAACATTTGGAACCACACTTGTTCCTTTTTAAAGTTCAGGAAGCGCGTGCCAAAATTAGAGTTCTGATTAGGTTACAAGCAGCTGGATGCTGCTCCTAAATAAGGGGAGCAAAAGTTCAACCATTGCGGTCAAATTAGTCCTCTTATCTTCTTTGCAAAAGGAAAAGACGGGGCTGACAGCGTTGCTGGTTCTGCCTATTGAGTCCACACTGTCGCATTATTAGAAATATTTCCGATACGAATAACGAAAATTTAACCAATGCCAGCACTTACTTCAAGAATATCCATCTACTCGAATTAAAATGCAGTTGAAGACGATGTCTAAGAGATAAAATGATCATTTTTTTTTACCTCTTGCGATCAAGATGAGGGAAAATTAGAGGCCTTACCGCAGCGGTACTACACAGTTACAAGGAACAAGGGCTTATTGTAACAGAAAAAAAAATTCTAACGGACGATGCATATGTTTGCAGCATGGATGACATAAGGAATGCTTCTTTTCTTAAAGCATTTTAAGCGCCTCATCCTCAGAGTTTACGACATAACAAAGGCATTTCTCGTGGACACCTTACTTCACAAAGTGGGGCTAAGACCCCTTCCGATTTTCCATATAAATGTGAATGAATAAACAAACACAGTATTAAAGATAAATACCTATGACTACGCATCTAATTTGCCGATAACAAGTTACCCAAAGAAGCCATCTTTTGCAGTCAAACATTTTTGCTTTTCAAAGAAGCACCTACTTAGATAAATTGACTATCAGGATCTCTAAGATACGTGCCGAATAGGTTATTGAGGAAGCATGGTCTTGATCTGACAAAGCACATGTATGGATCAACTTTTCACAGAGGTTTCAGTAAACTCAGTGCCTTTCTATCCTTTTTAGTCCCACAGCGTTGTAATGAGTGCAATCCGTACATTTAAAAATGTTATCTCGGGGGGGGGGGCCTTCAGGATCCTATTGGACCATGCAAAGTCAAGAAACAAGGAGGCGGCGGGTCCTAAATGAAGCTACATAAAGACAAGGAGAACATCAACAAAAGCAAAATTTATTAAAGTTTTTTATCATCGAAAATTTTAAAAATTACATTGCGAATTCATCTTTAAAGGTTCTGAATGATGTCCATCAGCGTTGTACAAGTACTAATCATGTCCGTGAGCGAAATATGCACATGTGGAAGATTCTGCGGGCTTAATAGAGCGTAAAGAATGATTTCTTCTAGCTTTATTTGGTTATGTATTCTCTTGCCTAATCAGAGGCTATTTCACAAGAAATGACCTATTTGACCATGATAGATACCCTTGTTTCCCTCGTCAAGATCAAGAAGGGTACTCTGAATTTGTAGGGATTGCTGAGAATTCGTGAACGCTTCAACGAAAATATTGGTACTAGAAGGTACGCGCGCTATGATCTGAGTCATGATAGCTTCCTCTTTACATTAAAAGAAACTTGGTGATAGCTGTCGCATGCTCTGTTCTCGAATTTGAGGCAATGATTCTAACCGATAGGCGTTTAAGCATCCCAATCAACGTGGGTTTGTGCCCCAACCCTTGCTTAAAAAGCTGAGCTGTCTTGACCTACATTTTTGTATAGCGAGGACATAACTCCGTTATAAATATAATAAATTACGCAGAGAGATTAAGGAGCTTGGCTCGATGGTAAGGATATCAAAGCATCCACGGAAAGCTGCTGCGAGGGAAGAAGCGAAAGCTCAAAGAATGTTTTTATCTGTCAAAAACTAGATCGAGGCAATTGAAAGAAAGATTTACAAGGATTGCAAGAACAAGGGTCATCGTACATACAAATTACTACCACACCAACGGATGACCGACGGAACACGATTAAATGATGCGAGAGACAGGAGATCAAGAAAATGAGTATACTGGACCCGAAATGTGATGACCTTAACAATTTTGACTGCACAGTGTCTTAAAATCCCCTTGAATAAGTCACCGAAGAACTGAAGTGTTACTTACGAGAATAGATTGCCCGCTTTTCGTTTACACCTCCCAGGCGCGCTGTTACTGTGTAAACTGTTTTAGATTCCTGCCCTTCAATTTAGTCCCCCATTTAAACATTCCCACACGTTCCCCTGAAAGTCACTCCACAAATTTAATTCTTTAACTTGCCTCCCTCTAACAGATCCACATCCCGAAGCAACTACGAGCAGAATTTATCAAATATTAGAGCCTATCAGAATATTACAACGCTAAATTAATTACAATCCAGCATGCTCTCCCGATATATACTAGTAATAAACAGCATAGGTTCTCATTCTTCAATTGAATTGGAGCGTCAACGCTACACTTTGGACGAGAACAATTACAATGGAGGCGAAGAATGCATCGTTACAATCCGTGGCCGTCAAGTACAACGTTGACCGTTGCTGCATCCTCGACTGGGTCCATCTAGTCAACTCTGGCGCTTTTGGCGAAGAGTCGCCGATAACATTTCGTCCTGGCGGAGCAGATATGTGTGATGCCGGTAAAGAACTGGACTCTCTTCTCATCGCGGAAGTTCGTGAAGTTCGGTTTTAACACGTTAGTGTCACTCGCCGAAGGGTCTTGTACATGGCGGCAAATATCCAATGGAAGATGGCAGAGCAGCCCAGTTTCGATCTCTCGAATTTTTAACCTGAGTGTATTCTTCACCAACACTATCTAGTCTTGCAAAAGATGATGAAAGAGCCGAAACTGACTGCTGAAATCAGTGCCACGCGTGTTGCCAACTATATCTTGCGCTTGCGCAAGCTTACCCGCAAAATACAAAATCGAGCCGCACAAAAAGTGATCAACTTTGAATGAAGAACGTGCTTTTTGATGACCATGACAAGGAAACTACGATGGCGGAGCGCGGGGTCAGCGATGTACCCTTCAGGTCTCTCGTCTTCGAGAAGACTCGCTCCACTGCTGTGTTTGCTGTTCGCGGCGAAGGGACCAATTCGAAGCCATGTTCTCCAAACAAGGGCAAGTTGTCAATGATCTTAGCGGAGCAAGGGATCCCGGTTATCATTAACGCCGAATTTTGGATGTACTCAAAATTGTTTATTTGATACTTCGACTACTAGTTTCCGATTCCCGGGACGAACAAGAACTTGCTTTTTTTACTCAGTACCTTGTCACGTGAACAAGAAGGTGAAGATCCACCTACAGTCTCGCAAGATCCTGTAATCTGTCTTCTCTGGCGGTCTAAATAATTTTGTCCAGCCTTGCGTAGCATGGCGTCTTCAAGCCCTTGGTAGAGCGCCTGGATGACCTGATCGACAATTGGAAGGATCATGGACCTCGATCCTATACAGAAGGTGTGTAACGGGGCACCCTGAAGCTTGTACTGGTGACAGTACAAGCTACTTATTCCGATGACAGAATAAGGCGGTGCCTCGTAACTTCACGTACACTCGTACGTGCAGAGGAAGACGGTAAGAAGAAGCGAGTACTTGGTTAGAGTAAAAGTAGAACTGTATTTATAATAGTTAATGTCTGCAATAAATCACTATTTATCTTCATCTAACTATGTCTAAATACAAATGTGTAAATCAGTTATCTGCTCACCACTCATTGCGTGCGTCTGTCGTGGCGCGTCTTCGTTGGTTGATATAATGGCCTATATCAACCAATTGGGAACTACCTGTAAGTGCTACAGAATATTTGTCCTTATGACAATATTCTGAGAATATAACTCTTATAGTTATATTCTATTAACAATTTCTTATAAATTGTTATGTAACGATTCACCCCGTTACATCACCCCCCCCTTAACCATCAGTCACTTTAGTGACTGATTGACTAAATGGATACTTGCCCCAAATCATTTGGGACAGGGTTTGCACTTGTTGGTCCGCGTCCACTTTCCAACATTTCATCGCATGGTAAACAAGCCCATGCGATGCGCGAGCAAGGCCGCCGAGAGCTCGTCTGCACGTCTCTGTGCGGACGCCGAAGCAGAAATAACAGCAACTGATGTCCCATCGGTTGCTGAAGAGACCCAGTCTGTGTCACTTGGTGACGCAGGCGCTGGTCATGAAGACACTCGTGTCTTCACAGAGTACGAGCTCGGTGTCTCGTACTCTCCTGATACGGATGACGGATCCGTATCGACGGCGATTGAATCTAAGCCGCCTGCCAAGCGTGGCATGGACGATGCTTTGCGTCGCAGCATCTTTGGTTCATCTGATGAGTCAGATGAACCATCGCCGAAGCGAAGGCGCTCGAGGTCGCGAGACTCGGGCGCTAATAGTGGTGTCGGTTCTCCAATGGACACCACTTCACAGCGAGGTGCCAGTACTTCTGTCGGCACGTCGCAGGAAGAGCGGGACCGCAATGTGTTGCGTCTCGCTCCAGAAAAGAAGGCATGGATGCCTCCTAAATCCGTCATGGATCACTTGTCGGCGACGACGAGTGATCGTTATCGAACACGATTGTTCGATTCGTCAAGGATCCATCACCTTGACTCCAGCGCGAAAGACTATCGCGCTGAACATGAGGTTCTTCATCGATGCTTTCTTCAGACATCGATGGTACAGTGGGAATCACAAACGTGATGGTCCCTCACTACTTCAGGCGTGGAACGCCTACATCCATAACCTCGAGGATGTAGGTCGTGACGCTTGGAACGACAAACTTATCAAAGCTCGTGATAAGTTTGAAAAGCGAACCCCGACAGGTGCACGCTACAAGCTGCATCGTCTGTCAAGGGAGAAAGGATTACCCTGCCTCTCTTGGGTAGACTCGTGCCCATGTTGTGTGAACAACTCTGCACGAGCACCTAAGGAGGCTTACCTCCTTACCAGCCCGTGGTGGCGCGTACGTGTCTCTACTGAGATGTACGAAGGGATTGACAACCTGAAATCCCTTTACGACCGTGCCGGGAAGACTTTCTCCGGCGGTCCTTCTGCGGCACAGGATGTGCCGCGTCGTACTGCTCGACCAGACCCAGTACGTCAACCATCAATTGGGAGCGGGGCTCCCAAGAATCCCAGGACGGGGGATAGCCGCGCCACCGGACGAGGTAACTCGTCCGACGTCCGTTCACGTCGCGGTGGTTCAACAGCTGCTCAACTAGATAGCGCTGGCCACCGCGAGAGTCCTCTAATGGAGGTGGAGGAGGAGGAAAGACGCTCTCCACACGATCATGTGGATCGGTGTGTTCCCGAGAGCTTCTTTGATCGCGTAACGCAAGGGTTACGCGACGATCTCGAGCATGAGCGGAATAGGCGTCTCCAGATGGTGGACACTGCCTCGAAGCATCGAGCTGAGTTTGCCTTTGCTCAGCTTGAGAACGAGAGATCTCTGACATCTCTTCGTGACGAGCTAAGGGTAGCTCGTGGGATTGTTGATCGGTCTCGGGATGAGATAGCTGCTCTTCAGACCCTTGTTGATGCCCACCATCGGGAGCACAAGGCTCTCTGCGAGATGCTTGAGCGCAAGGGCGTTCTTCATCGGAAGAAGCAGCGTACTGATGGTACGGCTTAAGCCGACCAACGTAAAACGTGGGATGCGTTCGCATCTTACGTGGTAACTCGATCGTGTATGCATTGCCTAGGCGGTGCAATACACGAAATGGGCCAATGTACTTGGGTAGTAGTTTACTGCTACCCAAGTTAGTCACTACATGCTTTGGTAGATTAACCGTAGACAGTAGGACTAAGTCACCTTTATCAAATAAAAGAGTGTTTGCCCTTCCATTCTTGTCAGCGTTTTGCTTTTGCTTATCCACCGCTTCGGCGATGGAGTCTTGCACAAAACGGACTACCGTTTCACGAGCCAGTATGAACTCATCTGATGACTCGTTAGCTTCAGTGTGCTGTGAGCGCACTGCAGCAACAACAACCTTTTCTTCAGTGAGGGCTTCCGCACTCTCACTGGGATCATCTTCTTCAGTGAGGGCTTCCGCACTCTCACTGGCATCATCTTCTTCGATATCGATGTTATCGATATCGGCATCAAACGCAATGACTTCTTCGTCAGAGCGTGATGAGCGTGAACCAAATCGGTTTTTGCTCGCGCGAGTCCCTCCCCCCCTTAAACCAGAGTTACACTCGATTAAGGTGGGTACACGCGGATGGCGCAAGCCATTCACGTAAAACGGTGTATGTGTCGTGGACGCATGCACCGAGTTGTTGATGGCAAACTCTACCATTGGCAAAAACTCACTCCAACTCTTAAAGGAGTGTACGTATCCTCGAAGTATCTCTTCAAGGACACGATTGGCACGTTCCGTCTGACCATCTGACTCTGGATGATCAGATGTTGACATCTTCAAGCGCGTTCCGAGTGATTTGAACACGGAACGCCAGAAATCAGCAGTGAATCGTGGATCTCTGTCTGATACGAGTTCACGGGGCAACCCATGAAGTCGGAAGATGGTGTCAATAAAGACACAAGCACAGCCACTTGCCGTGATTGTCTCTGGTACAGCCACAAGGTGTACCATTTTACTGAATCTGTCAACAAATACGAGAATACCCGTATTTCTGCGTGCGTCTTTGGGTAACCCGAAGACGAAATCCATTGCGATGGATTCCCAGCACTCAGCCGGAACCGGTAGAGGCTGTAAAGGTGCACGCAGTGAAGGACTTGACTTCACTCGTTGGCAGACTTCGCATGCGCGAACATACTTTCGCACAAACTGATACTGGCGGGGCCAGTAAAAGTCTCGACTTACCGTGAGATATGTTTTCTCTCGGCCACGATGTCCTCCTATAGGAGCATAGTGATACTCAAACATGATCCGCAAACGCAGATCAGTATCATCTGGAATGACAACACGTGGTGTGTCACCAGAAACGGCTGTATAATAAATACAGTAAACCGTTACGAGTAGTGTATCGATCTGATGCAGATCGATACGCAGGCGACAATCGTTTCAACGATTCTCGGGATGGTTGGGAGAGATGTGACAACAACTTCACTATCTCACCATCTTGGGCGTATGCCCGCCTCACATCATCATACAGCATTGTAGATGGAACTGAGGACGTCATAACCGCAACAGTGACTGTCTCACTGTTGGGTTTCGCGACTGTTTCGAAGTCGGGACGACGTGAGAGTGCATCAGCGACGACATTAAGTCGTCCTGGTTTGTACTCAACCGTAAAGTTGTATTCTGCAAAGAATGACAACCACCGCGCCATTCGTTGTGAAAGGTGCGGGCTGTTCACTGCCGTGCGTAATGACGCATGGTCAGTGTAAACAACGAAGGGTCTATCTCCTAATAGATAGACTCTGAACTTCGCGAGTGCATACTTCATGGCAAGGAGTTCCTTGTCATGCACTGGATAGTTTCGCTCAGCTGGTTGCAGCTGACGCGACTGATAGCAGACGACGCGTTCAACGCCTTCAAGATCGTACTGCATTAATGCACAGCCGATTGCGAAATCGCTGGCATCACAGACCACATGAAATGGCCTGTCCTGATCGGCTATTGCTAGGACTGGGGATTGTATCAAGCTCTGCTTGATACCCTCAAAGGAGCGTTGACATTCAGCGTTCCATAACCACCTCTCGTTCTTTTTCAACAAACGAGAGAGGTGTACAGTCATCTCGGCGTAATTGCGTGAATACTTATGCAAATACGCCGCTAGCTCAAGGAATTTTCGAAGAACTTTGACATCGACCGGCACAGGCCAGTCGGTGATCGCCTTGATCTTTTCGGGATCAGGACGTACACCGTTCTTACCAACGATGCACCCAAGAAGTGGTATTTCGCTTGCTGCAAATATACACTTCTTGAGGTTTGCATACAATTGATGCTTTCGCATGATTGTAAGAACTTGTCGGACGTGGTACCTGTGAACCTCAACGTCCGACTTTCCATCCATAGCTCGACTATGGATGAATACGTCATCGAAATAACTCGGCGCGAACTCTCGTACTGGTCTCAACAGATGTGATACACATCTGTTGAACGTGGCAGGGGCATTACTAAGCCCTTGTGGCATTACTAGCCATTCCCAGAACATGCCGCTAGGCGTGCTAGCTGCGGTATAGGGTATATCCCGTTCCCGCATTAGGATTTGATAGAAGCCATCCATCAAATCCATGGACGAAAAGATGGTACTCTTTGACATACCATCAATGATTACGTCCTTCCTCGGTATCGGCGTCTGAGCCGGTACCGTTGCAGCGTTCAATTTGTTAAACGCGTGCACTATCCGCCACCCTCCTGTTGCTTTTCGCACACAGAAGGTCGGAGAGCTATGTGGGGATGTTGATTCCCTCACATGGCCCGCTGCTAAACGATCGGCAAAGAACTTGTCGATCGCAAGTACTTGTTCACGAGGCAGTGGCCACTGCTTCATGACACAGTACTTCGAGCCTGGTTTAAGCTCGACTTCGTGTCGAGTACCTTTATCCTTCGGTAACTCGCACGGAAAAGTTTCCGGAAAAACACACTTGAATTCAACCAAATCTTCATAGAGAGGGTTTGTCTTGAGCGATTCCCATGATTGGGAGTCATATCGCTCAATTCGTGTCTTTTCATCTAGGACACTCTCGTCCATAGATGAACTACTGAGAACTCTCTCGTTCTCAGTAAACACTGTTGCTGACCTTATGTCGGTTACACACTCGTCGTCAGCGACGAGTATGCAGATCTGCTTGACTTTGCCACTACGCAGATCACGCAAGAACCTTTTATGTTCGAGCGTTGGCAACTGAGTGATCTCCGAAGTTAACTTCGGAGGCGCAATCAGATCAAGTGTATAAGCGCCTACACATGATCCGTTATTGACTATGACATTCAATGTCTCTGTCATTTCCTGGGGACTTATTCCCTCAGGCTTCGAAGGACTTATTCCTTCGTCTTCCCGGGGACTTATTCCCGCGGGTTTCGGGGAACTTACTTCCGCCGTATTTGTTATCTTGGGACTTATTCCCTTTATTTCCTCTAGCTGGGGTTGCGCAACCACAGCGAGATCCTCTACGAAAGACTCTCCAGTCGATCTAGGATTATCGTTTCGCTTAACCTGAGCGATCGATTGTTTCTCTTCTAGATGTTCCCCTCTAGGGATACATCTTTGTCCCAGTCCACCCGACTTATTCGAGTGGTGGACCTTCGGCGCAGCCTGTGTTTCCTTACAGCCGCCGGAACTTTGCTCCGAAGTGTAACCGTTTGGTACACTAAGGTTTTGTGCAGTCGTACTAACGACCGTATCACAAGTGAGGCCATCGCACTCACTCGTAGTACATCCACACGCTTGTGGACGCTCCAAAACGTTCATCAGATGGCCATCTGATGAACAAGCGGCAGGCATCGTTACTGTCCGATGTTGCCAGTTTACCCGTGGTTCGTACCTTCTGAGCCACGGTATTCCAAGGATGACATCAAATTTGTCATCCAAATCCAATACGATAAAGTCATCGTCATTTTGGGTATCTCCTAGCGTATAGTGGATCTTCACTATACGCTTCATGAAGGTTACGGATGCGCCTGTCGCAAGACGTACCGTCATCCTCGTAGGAGGCATGTCACATTCACTACACTTGAAGTGACCATCTTCTAGCGACTGGCTTCGCACAAAATTGTTAGACGACCCACAATCGACTAGAGCTCGAAGGGACATTTTATTCGTCACTTCTAGTTTCAAGGTAATGAGTAAGATCTCATTACCTAGAGCAGCAACGCACAATGTTTGTGTGTTGCGAGCAACCTTCATTAAGAGGCCTACAAATGCTCTTGACAATGCTGGACCAGTAGGGTGCTTTGCACCTACTGATCCTGTCCGTTTTTTGACGGTCCATCCCGTTGTTGCGTCTTTGCACCAACTGCGGACCCTCGTCCCTGCCCCTTTCTCATGGGTGGACGGTCACTACGCCCAGTGTCGCGAGACACTGGACGAGGGGCACTACACTCGTAAGCGTAGTGTCCTGTCTTTTGACATCTGTTGCATCTCTGCAACTTCTTGTAGCCTGTAGAGCGAGCCTTCTCGCTCTCTACATAACAGAGTTCCATCGGCTCTGGACCTCCGTTGTCATATCGTCTCGGTTGACGATATGATGTCGAGCTGGCGCGAGCCTGTCTCAGACTGAAGTCTTCCTGCTCCGCAATGGAAATGGCTTGTTCTAGTGAATCTAGTTCAAGCCGGAACAGGTGAGTCTTGACGGGACCATCCGCAAGACCCTGCATGAACACCGAAACCAACGTGTGTTCATCCACTGGATTGGAACTTATACAACTCGTAAGATGTCGTATGTGTTGAGCGTAAGCGTGCACATCACGCTTACCCTGCTTGAGCTTCAAGAGTTCGGTTCGAGCCCTGAACTCAGCTCTAGGCGGTTCAAACGTTTGTCTGAGCCGCGACTTGAAGACTTCCAACGACCCAAACGCATATGGGTCGTGCAGCTTGAGCCCCAGTGCCCAAGTCTTGGCACGTCCTGCCAGATTTGATTGGGCAAATGCAACTTGCATATCCCCGTCGTCGATGCGACGCGCCCTTATGGCGTCATCCAATTCGACGAACCATCTCAAGAGAGAGTCTTCTTCGACCCCTCTATACTTTGAGATGTCAATCTTCAAAGTCTCGGGTCGACGCGAGTGCATCGACCCGCCAGCAGCAGCCTGCTGCTGTCTCAACAGTTCAAACTGTTGAGCACCTTGTTCTCTCAACAACTCTGCTTGTTGAGAACCTTGTTGGTGAAGTAAGGCTACTTTCTCGCGTTCAGCGTCAAGTTCATTTTGGATGAACTTGGCGATAGTAGCATGTTGGGCATCTCTATTGAGAGCCTCTAGCATGACGCTAACAGCATGGATGCCCATGGTCGAACCCATTCGTTCAACCGCATCCCATTCGACATCGCTCAAATGGGAGTAGCCGTCACGCGTAGCGTGAAAGCTTTGGTCATCTTCATCATCCAACATATTCATGTTGGATGTGAACGCGGTCCTTGGACGGACTACGAAGTGCTACCAGGTGTAACGGGGCACCCTGAAGCTTGTACTGGTGACAGTACAAGCTACTTATTCCGATGACAGAATAAGGCGGTGCCTCGTAACTTCACGTACACTCGTACGTGCAAAGGAAGACGGTAAGAAGAAGCGAGTACTTGGTTAGAGTAAAAAGTAGAACTGTATTTATAATAGTTAATGTCTGCAATAAATCACTATTTATCTTCATCTAACTATGTCTAAATACAAATGTG